CTTTTCTTTGAAAGAAGTTTAATGAAAAGGGTACAGCGTTAGAAAGGAAAGATTTGACTGGGTGATACTCAGGGCTATAAAATGAGAGTGTGAACACTGTGCTCAGTACTGCTCTGAAGCTGTATGGATGCTGTCTCCTGCTCTGCACCTAACCCTGAGCCACACAAAGACCAACAAGTCATTTTAGAACCTGGGTGTACTTTGACAACATTTTAAGGAATCAAAGAAAAAGAGTCACCATCTGATGAGTTTGACACTGTAGAAGAAAAGATAAGAAAGTGTTGGATAACTTCTGAGATGAGGTATCTGTCATAGCTGAAACTTCGGACTAGTCAGAGAGACTAGTCAGTGAGTGTAGTAGCCTTTCAGGAAATTAACATAAAAGGTTAGGTAAAAGGAGGGGCCATGTAACAAAACATAAATACAAGACTAGGTTCATGTCTTTTATTCAGTAGAATAAGTCCTGTAGATACATAAAAACAAAAGAATGAATGAATGAACACTCTCCCTTATGAAATGCTTAGACAGTGGTTGGTAAAAGAAATTGTGTAGTTTATTATATTCATACCATGGACAGACTGACTCTTGCATAATATGGCTGGCAGGAGGGATAGACAGTAAGGGTACTGCTTCAGATTTGGGAATTTAAAACATTTAATAAAATAATTGTTCTGGAGAGATGGCTTAGAGGTTAAGAGCACTGACTGCTCTTCCAGAGGTACTGAGTTCAATTCCCAGCAACCACATGGTGGCTCACAACCATCTACAATTCAATCTGGTGCCCTCTTCTCGAATGTAGGCAGAATACTGTATATGTAATAAATAAATAAATCTTTTTTAAAAATATGTGATCCTTTTCACTTATTTTTTAAAGAAAATAATTTGTCATCAGGAAAATACTAACTAAAACCACAGTCACGTTCAGAAAGTGCAGGGAAACTGAATTTCTCATGACCTGCTGGTAAGAACACAGTGTTCCAGCCAATCTGGAGAAGCTGTGGTGGTCGTGATAACCATGGGCTCCATGAGGGGTCCACTCCTAAGTATGACAAAGACAGAGGCAGGGGCTAGCATGGGACTTATGTGTCTGCCAGACATCACATACCTGTCTTTTATTATTTAAACAACTTTCATCTAAGTGAGGTATGACTAAATTCCCAGTTTAGTTCACCTTCAAATAAGGAGATTATCCCCACTGGCCCTGACTTAATTCGTTGAGTCTTTTAAATGGTCCTAGAGTCTTCCTGATACACAAAACTTAAGAGTCTAAGATGGATTCAGTAGGAGGACCTTGTTTTATGTTGGCCTTGAAGATGGAGTGCCCAGTAACCTGCATTTCAGGCTTCAGCGTTCAGAGGTTCCAGATGCAGGGTCCAGATACCTGTTCATCAGTAACTGAAATAGTGACGGAGTTTGAATTCACTGAGTTTATAGTGATTTGTTATACAACAGTAAAACTTACTGCATGTTTTAGAATCTGAATACGGTGTCTCTTAGCAAGGGGGCTGTGTTCTAAAAATGAATCATCCTATGGTTTCATTTTGCAAGCATCTGTTAGTACTTTACCTTGTGAGAAACAGAGGTACCAATGGCAGAGTAAGACAACGATTCCTCCTAAGTCAAGCTTACTGACAAAGTGGGTTTAGAGGATTGGGTTACAGGAGCTTGGGTGAAGGGATTCCAGAATGTGGGTGATAGCAAAACAGCTTTATCATAGAAAAGTCTCATCCCAGGATGGATGGCCAGCTTCTGAAAGTTGCATGGATGGAATCCTGCGTACAGTTGACCTCCTCCCTCTTGTGTTCCCCAGCATCACTCCAAAACACTTGCAGCTGAGGCTGAATCCTGTGCAGGGTAGAGAGAGGCTGGGAGGGAGGGAGGGAATGAAGGGAAGGGAAGGGTTGTAATTCTTGGTGAGGATTATAGGCTACATCTGTAAGTCCCTGGTTTGGAAAATTACTGCGTTCTCATTTCCAGGTGGTAGCAGCCATACTCTGTCTAGAGAAAAAGATTTAACAACAGCATGGTAGAATGAATCTAAATGAATTTAGGACCACTATGACATCACTAGTAAATAGCCTTGTATTGTACATATGCTTGTTGTCTGACTAAACATAGCAAAGTGGTTTTTGAATGCATCAGTGGGTAGAGTGGATAGGGTTTAAATTCTGAGGAACGGGAGGGAAAAGCCTACAGTTGCCTACAAAAGGCTATTTGAAGTACTCCAGCACAGCTGTCTGTTGGTTGTCAGTGGTACTCAGAGTGAGAAACTTGATAGTGGAACCTGGGAAAGTGCTTCCTCTTTACATGGGCAGAAAGCTTCGGAGAATTGTCTCCATCAGAATGAGTGCATGATTAGCATGTATTTTTAGTTGGTATTTCCCAGGATGATGTTGAAGGTGTGACTTGGTATTTTTCCCTTGCTTTTTTATGATAAAATGCAAGTAGAGAGTGCTAAATTGAAGGAAACAAATAAGAGGAACCAGAACTTGAATAGAATTCTCACTTCAGTGGAGGTGGCAAAGGAGAGAATTCTTTTGAAAATGTAGCCTAGAGAAAAATAGAATTTTCTACACAGAATGTCTCAGAATTTCCCCACAAAGGTTCCTTTAAGAAATAAAAGGCAATCCCACTGCTCTCAACCAGACTGAAGGCCTATGTAAAGTTTAAAATCTCATCCTCATGTCTTAGAGAGAGCCTAGGTGGTCACTCTTGGAAGATTGTGGGACTTGTGTGCAATGGAGACCTGGTGACATTCATTTAATTTATTAGTGAGAAAACACTACTAGCTCGGACTAGAAGAGAGGGCAGGGTGACAGGAGGCCCTGGCTGCACAGCAACAGACATGTGCTGCCTTCTCTTTCCTGGTTCTCCATCTTGGAGGTTTTCTTCTCAGGTTTAGGATCCAGCATCTGTGGGGATCAGAGGCTTGTACCTATTGTATTGAGTGCTCATGTTCTCTTTTGTGCTTACCTTGTTTCTTCCTTATTTCATTTTACCTTGTTTTCATTGATACAGTTTGTTAAACTTTGTTCTGTTTAGGTGTCTAAAATAAGCAGCCCATGCATCATTAGTTTCCAGTTACCTTAGACTTGATACTTTAGTACCAGTTCTCATTTTTGTTTCCCCAGCTGAAGTTAAGATTAATCAATGTGAAAAAAAAAGGACACTTGAAGGCAGTAGGCTGAGTCTGTGATTAGGTGAATGACATAGAGGTGTCCTTTGAAACAGTTCCTGGGGAAACAATAGTAAAAACAGAACCTTGGAGGGAAAGGTATGGTCAGGTGTAACTGAAGGAAACACAGAGCTAAAATAAGCTTACATTGAAAGAGCTACTTAATAATTCTTGCAGAATTAGTCAAATTTAAAAACGACACATTAACAGCCAGGCAAGGCTAGAGGAGGAGCTCAGGAAGCCCTGCCCTCACTGCTGAACTATAGTCTATCAGTAGATCAGGGAGAAGAGGAGTGATTGTCTCCAGTTGTGTTCCCCTAGTGATAGTCTCAAGCCAGTACTCACAGAGGTAGCCCAAAGTCAGCTGAAAATTGAGTTGCATTGCAGTCAGAAGCTTAATGGGGGATAATACTCTTGTTCACTGTAACTATTTGTTATTCATATTGGTTTAATTAAATGCTGATTGGCCAGTAGCCAGGCTGGAGGTATAGGTGGGGCGACCAGACTAGGAGAATTCTGGGAAGAGGAAGATAGAGTTGGAGTCCCCAGCCAGATGCAGAGGAAGCAAGATGAGAATGCCTTACTGAGAAAAGGTACCAAGCCACATGGCTGACCATAGATAAGAATTGTGCATTAATTTAAGTTGTAACAGCTAGATAGTAATAAGCCTGAGCTATAGGCCAAACAGTTTATGTGTGTTTATTTGGGATTAAAGGCTGCAGGACCCTGTGGGACAGGAACTTCCATTCACAAAAGCTTAAAGTTTTTCACTATTCCAAAACTTACATAGCAAAAGAAAAATCTAGGATACCCACGGTAGTATAATTTTGAAGAATAAGTAGAAGGTGGTAGTACTTGTTTTACTAGGAACCCCTGCTAGAAATTAGGAACAATAATTTCCAAGAAACAACAAATAGACTGAAAGCCAGATATGAGTCTAGAAGTACATGTGTGAAGAGACATACATGTTAAGTGACAGTGTAGCCTGCACTACATGTATGAGACACTGACTGGAAAGCAAAAAACAAAGCAAAGTGATGGTTCAGCTGGTACAAGGGCCCTGCCATAGAAGACCAGAATTTGATCTCCAGAACAATGGTAAAGGAGAGTACTGATTCTGGAAAGTTGTGCCCAGAACTGCACATGTGTACCATGGTTCAGACATACCTATAAGTATACCACACACACACACACACACACACACACACACACACACACACACACACACATAAATATTTTTTTAATTAGAAAAAAAACCTGAGCTCTCTCCCAACCTCAAATCTTTCACGTCTTGCTTATTTTGGAAAAATGATGCATATTGCAGTTGTTTATAAAGCTTACTGGGAATACCAAATTTGGGGGAAGGAGAAACAAAAACCAACTTTAATATAGCAAGTTTGTGTAAGTGCATAAGTAGAGGCTTGTGTGTGTGTGTGTGTGTGGCTTAAAAGTTAAATATCTGTAATGCACCTATGCATACACAGTGGATAATGTAGCCAGATTTGAAACATATTCTTCCTTCAAAACCATTCTCTCTTGATCATGCCTTAGTGTTTACTGTAAGGCACTATGTTTGACACATAAGTTAAATTAGCACAATTAAATATTAATCTCAATGAATAAATGAATCTGATTATTTCATTGTCAGTTTTGCCTTTTCTAATTATAAATATAATTATTTTACATTTGCCTTTTAAAATTATATATGTATATAATGATTATATATAATAAATATATGAATTACATCATAAGTAACCATCTGATACAGTCAGGGAAATGTATCAGATACTCTTCTAATTTCCTTTCTGTCTGTTTTCTCTTGCAGGGTTACATTTTGCCATCTGCCTTTCCAGAGTAAGTGGCTCTATGTAGGCACTGAACGAGGTAATATACATATTGTCAATGTGGAGTCCTTCACACTCTCAGGCTATGTCATTATGTGGAATAAAGCCATTGAACTGTAAGTCTGAGCATCTACTCTATATCTTAAAGTATTGAGTATCAGTATCTTATAGCTCTATGTTAGTGAATCCCTGTGGGATTGATATGTCAGGCATTCCTGATATTATATATAGATCTTTGGTGTTTTTATTTTTTTGTAAGTATTATCTGATTGTCGTGACATTGACATATTTAAAGCTTTTTATTTCACATATTTATAAATGTATACTATTTTCATCTGTGTATAAACTGTTACATTGGATAGTTGCAATGTAGTAGTTATTCTTGCTAGGTTGAAACCATTCATTTTTTTCTTTTATCTTCTAATTCATTATTTTCTTTAACCTTCTAATTATTTTACTTTTATATTTTCTAATAGTCATGCAGTGTAAATATTTTTTAAAATTAGTATATCTCCAAGACTGACAAAAAACAGGTTGAACTGTGGTGCCAAGAATCTCTTGTGCTAATTTTCACTTCCTGAAAGTTTTTTTTTATATCATCACGTTTTGTAAGTTTTAATTTAAAGATTTAAATATGAGGATAAAGCTGTTGGCAAGGCTCTTTTTAAGTATATTCCACACTTTTACTCTTTTGACAGAGAAAAATTTTGTGACATATCTCAGACGACGTTTTGGTTTAGCCAGAGTAGTGTGCTTACAGCTGGTTTTCCTTTCTGTGGCCAGGATGTTGCTACCGTTCTTTATAGGCATGAGTTTTCAGTTTGTTCTTTTAGTTGATCATGACATCTAGTGGGTAGCCGTGGTCTAAGTATTCACAGTTCTGAAGTGGTGCAGTGTCCCAGCCTCCAGCATTCACAAACAGGGATATAGTTTTTTCAAATGCATGGGCATCATTCAAGTTATATTTTTACCTATATAGCCTCTCTTTCTCTGGTATTGCTATAAGCACCATTAATTTCTGTGTTTTCAAAATAAAAATAAAATGTATTTTTCCCTACTTCTGACTTGAACCAGAATTGGTTGGGATATCCCATCTGACACCTAGCATTAAATGTTGCATTGTTTTAAAATAGTAACTTTACAACAAAAAGAGATTTTCTGTGCTAAAATAAATGTTTGACTAAATGGAAGATTTTCCTATATAGAAAGTGCAGTTATCAAATTTTTTGACTTACAACATATGATTGTCACCATTTTTCTTAGATTGGCAACTTAACTATTGTTTTCATAAATTAATGTTTTTCATTGTGATGAATACTGAAACTTTTAATTAAGTAAAAATCCTTTTTTTTTTCCAGGTCATCTAAATCTCACCCAGGTCCTGTTGTCCATATAAGTGATAATCCCATGGATGAGGGGAAGGTAGAATTTTTTCTAATCAAACATTTGTTAATTAATCTTTTAAATATGCAAACTGTCCTAGGACTGCACTGTTGACGAAAAGTTGAGATTGGACCAAGGTTTGTATATTGAATGATGTAACGACTTGTTATTCTTTATGAAGAACCAGTTGAAGAATTAGAATGATTTCTAATTAAAAGAGTTAGAAAGCCTAAAGCATAAATAGAATTTAACAAATATAAGGTATTCATTTGTATTCGAATGACTCAGAATATTTTACCTCATTTTTCTGATAACGTGGGGAGGTTTTTTTGGTGGGTGGGGGAAGGTGGTTGGGATTCTTAATTTAGTTAGGAGCTTTATAGTCCTTTCATATATAACATTATCTTAGAGTAGTCTCTATAGGTCAGCTTTTCCTTAAAGTTTTCTTCATAAATAAATCCGATGAATAATATAGAGACATTTTTGTTATGTCTTAAAAATCTCGTTTAATTATTTTTTAACTCATGCAGTCTGTATCTATCGTTAGCCTGAGTTAGTCAGTACATTTAAAAATAATAAAATTTCCTTTTCTGTGAATTTCTGTTTTCTTACTTATATGAATCATCTTTCATGTAGTTTCATTTAATAATGGCACTTTCGTACCTGTGCCATTTTAGGATGTTGAATACGTTCCAGAAAGTTTGTCAGGAATCAATGATGTAAAATTTTATCTTATGAAGGGATTTGACTCCAGTGTTTTCTTCTCTCGGTCAGTGAGAAAGGGCGAGCCTATGAAATTTTTTTTTTTACCACTGTTTTCAGTTTGCCATTGAACACAGCAGCATACCTGGACTGTTTGGAGTTGGCTTATGGCCATGGAATGATATGATTGGAAGGAAACTTTACATAAAGCAATGTCAGTCGCCTGGTTTTTGTTTTATTTTTCTTTTATACAAGATGCCTGTCTAAAAGCCAAGCCTCTGGCTGGAAAGCCAAATGAATTAACAATGTTCCCTTCACATGGAGTTACTCACTGAGTCATTATAACCCATTATGAGGTCTATCACAGTTGATGACAACCCGACACACTCTTGTTACTTTTTCTTCATTGATTACAATTTTTATATATTTTAATCGTTTCCTAAGCCCCAGCTCCTCTCTACCTCCCTCCCCACCAACTTTTTGCATTCTCTCTCTCTCTCTCTCTCTCTCTCTCTCTCTCTCTCTCTCTCTCTCTCTCTCTTCTCTCTCTCTCTCTCTATCTATCTCTATCTCTATCTCTATCTCTCTCCCTCACATATACACACACACACACACACACAATGAAAAATCAAAACAAACAAAAACCTCGGTATGACTGACAAATGCCAAAACAAGGTGAAACAAAAAGCCCCTCCCACCTCCACAATGTGGTTTGGTTTTTGTCCATAGCCATGCAGCCTGCCCTAGAATGTGGTTGATATACCTGGTGTTACTCCATTGGAGAAAACAGATTTGTTTTCCAGAAGGTATCAACTGCAGATAGCTTCTTGCAGGTTGTGTCTACTTCCCCTTCTCAGGGCTGGGACTTTGTCTGGCTTGAACCTATGTAGGTCTTGTGTGTGCTGCCACAGGGTCTGTGAGTTCACGTGTGTATCAGTTCGCTGTATCTGGAAGACACTGTTTCTGTGGAGCCATCCCCCCCCCCCCCCGGTTCTCACAGTCTTTCCACTCCTCTTCTGCATGCATCCCGGAGCCTTGAAAGGGGCTTGTCTGATGAAGACATCCCATTTAGGACTGTCCATCCTTCCCAGAGTGCCATTCTCATCTTGGTGATTTCTTGTATAAATGTGGAGTGTATCTACAGACTCTGACAGGGTGACTGAGTTTTCCTTAGGATATAGTGTGGGTTCCCTATCTTTCACAATACCCTGCCTAGTAGGATGTGCTGAAGCCATAGTCACTTTCCCCAACTGCAGACTGCTCTTTGCTGCCTCAAGACTTTGGTTTCTGTCAGTCTTGTTTGCAGGGCTAGCTCCCCATTTTCCTGACTTCTCTACATATTAAGGCCCAAATTAAATGTATATGCAAATACTGTCTGCCCAGATAATTCTGACAGAAAATGTTTTCTCTCCTACATCCATAGTACTTCAGCAATGTAAATGTTATGGTATGTGTAACTCGCTGCCTTTGTTAGAAATGCATGTGTATTACCACTCCTGAACTGTATAGAGCTGTGTTCATACTGAGTGCAACCATTTGCTTTATTTATTTATATTTGGTGGTGGAAGTTGAATTCAGGGCCTTGCACATGCTGAACAAGTACTCCACCAATACTCTAACAGTATCTGCAGCCTGCTTATTTGTCTGTTTTTTTAAATGCAGGATTTCACAACATAGCACAGATTGACCTGAAACTCACAATCCTCTTGTCTCAAAGGCTTCCTAAGTACTAGGATTACAATTGTTGACCACCATGTTTCCTTATAAGAGAAAAATTAGTGTATTAGTGATTGACTCACAGAATTATTTATGCCTTTCTAAATTATATAACATTCTGGTAGGAATAATTCTTTTTAAATGCATTTTTATTTCAGTATTCATGTGTGAAAGGCTCATATATGTACATATATATCTTGATCACATTACTCCATTACTCTCCCCTCCTCTCTCTGGACCTCTCTCTGCCCAGTAAGTCCCCATCCTGTTCTTATGGTTCCTTATTGTTGTTTAATTTTTTAATCACCATTTGGGTTTAATTGGGGTGGCTTCTCTGAACATGCTGTGTTTTATTTACTGTAGCATTGACAACTTGCAAGCACCTGTACCACCTAAGGAAGATGCTTCCCCCTCTTCAGCACATTGACTGTCTGTCGTTCCTCTGCTAGGATGGAGCATCCTTTGTCCCTCAACCACCCCTGCTACAATGTTGTCAGGCTAGATCTAGTTCAGGTCACCATGGTGTCTCCTTCCCCTGACTTTCATATTCTTTGAGTGCCTTCTTTTATGTTGTTCCCCAGTTTACTGTGGGGTGTGTGTGTGTGAAGGTGGAGGGCATGATATAGATGTCCCTTTAGGGCTAAACACTAAATAGTCACTCTCAGCACTTTGAGCAGTTAGGACTCTCTGTGTTAACTACAACCCACTGCAAAATGAAGCTTCCTAGTAGGAATAAATCTAGTGGAGATTTTCCAAGGACTTACATAACTTAGGCTTCCATTACCCTTGTCTTGCTTCTGTAGAGAAGATCTGTAAGCTTGTGAACATCAACCGTAACCTGATGGACACACTTCTAATGTCATTTGGATGTCGTGGCTGGCTAAAAGAGGCTGAAAGTTTACTGTGACCTTCTTAGATTATTAAAAATGTGAACAGGCAAAGCAAATTTCTTAAAGTTACAAGTCTCTGAAGTGGTACCTTCACACCTAGGTCTCTTTACCTATGTCTTGAGCTGCTAACATAACTTATCAGTTTGTACTTTTTTCTTTATTTTAAATGTCCTCTCTTTCTTTATGAGACATTGCCATATCATGTATTCAAAATATTTGGAGGGAAAGGAAACTGTTGCAAAGTCTTTCCAGGAGTATCTATTACCTCTCATAGCTAATGTGTGTCTTTCCAGGAGTATCTATTACCTCTCATAGCTAATGTGTAGCTTACTTTGTCCTCTTTCAGTCTAGGACCCCAGCCCATAGTGGATGTTGTCTACATTTAGGATGATTCGTCCTACAGTTAACATCATCTCAATAACCCCTCTTTGTTGATTTGACATCCTAGCAAAGTGACAATCAGTGTTAACAACTGTCACACTGGGCTAGGGGTGTGCGGCAACAGATGACAGTACACAGTTTATGAGGCAAGAACTTATCAGGCTCCATGACATACGTTAACGGAATAATAGTGATGGTTTTAGTCCTTACCCAATGAACCAGTTTTACAGTCTGCAAGGGAATTCAAATGAAAATGCTATACTAAAAAGTAACCCTTCAGACTACAAAAGGATGGAGTATTACTTGAGCACATTGGAAGGGCACTGGAGTAACACATTTGGTCTTTCGAGGAAGCAGTTGCTAAGAGCACCTCTAAAGGATAACTGAGACTAATCAGAGGATTCCATTTATGCCCCGCCCCCAGACAGGAAGTCAGCATGTACAAACGCTTAAATATGACAGTGCATGGAGAAGCAAACTCCAGAATCAACAAATGGAGTGTGTTGGGCAGGAGAGGTATGAGGGGGAATTTTGGAGTAGCAAGTAGGAATCAGATAGTGATAAATGTATAGTTGTGTAATTGAGATTTGATTTTTATCATGAAAAGAATGGTGAGACTGACACATTTTAAGTAGAAACATACATTTCCCTTTCAGCTTTGGATATCATAACTGGTCCTCTGCCTACAACTGAAATGGGCCAGAAAAGAGATCTTTGTATATTTCTCCAGGAGGGAGGTATGAGAGGTGGAAGGATCTAAGTTGGAAAGATATAGAACATCATATTAAACTTAGTTAATGATTTTCCTTGTTTAAGACAGGACTAGCATTCATGATGACTGTCAGGTGTTTGACAGACAGATGATTAGCTCTGGTCATCAGGACACAGTATAGAGAGCTAGAAGGCTCCAGAGGGTATACATAGTCTGGAACATACTTTCTGGCTTAACATTGGGAGGTGGTATGGTTATTGGAACTGTGAGCTTGAATTTCATAAAGGAATATGGGATGATTATTTGAAATTAATCAGTGTGTACATAGAGTGAAACTCTTTGGTGATATATGTGTATATCTTTGAAAGTATGTAATATCTCAAACACATACAAATTCACAATTTTATTAGTAATTTTTAGGAATGTAATAGGATGTAGATTCATGACTTCAAAGAGTCTGCTCTCTCTTTTCAGTGTCAGTTGTATTTTGAGTTGCTAATCATCAAAAGCACGTAAATCTGCCTTGCCGTGTTCTTATTTGTCATCTGTGTAATTGGTAACTCCCAGTGCAGGTGTTTAATTATATTAAAGTTTTGTGAGCGAAGGAGGTGAACAATGATTAGCTTTATTGTCCAAAATAAGTATTTTATGGAGTAAATAAATCATTCCTCAGTAAGGTGACCTTTCCTTTTCCAGCTTTTGATTGGCTTTGAATCTGGAACAGTTGTCTTATGGGACCTCAAGTCAAAGAAGGCTGACTACAGATACACATATGATGAGGTAACAGCAGTGTTTATTCTCATTGCAGACATTGTCATTGCTATAACACACAGCAGCTTCTCTAAGAATTGAATGTTCAGGGTTAGCTTAGGTTTGATGGTAGGGTAATTACAGAAGTTTTACTGATTTCATCAAAGCACAGACTTTCTTCTCTTAGTAATACATTCACTTCACCTTCCTTTCTGGGGAGTGAGAACACACAGTGTGTTGTTAGTATCATTCATCAGTGAACCTGCTGAGTCATGGAGTTCTCTGAGAAATGATGCTGTTACATCCACAGCTCATGTCATACCTACAGAGATCCCCACATGCTCTCATAGAGCAGTCTGCTACTTTCAAGGAGTATTTCCTTCTCTAATGTATCTCCTTGATTAGATTCAGGTTGCACTGCTCAGCAGTCATATTATAAATAATACATGTGTTTTGTTTTATTAAAATATTTTTGGTGCTAGAGCGATGGCTCAAAGGTTAAGAGCACTGACTGCTCTTCCAGAGGTCCTAAGTTTAATTCCCAGCTTTCACATGGTGGCTCACACCATCTATAATTTAATCTGGTGCCCTCTTCTGGCACGTAGGCAGAACACTGCATACATAATAAGTAAATAAATTTTAAAATATTTTAAATCTCTTTGGTTAACTTCTCAATACTGATCACATTCCATGGAAATAATTTCACTGTAGTATACATAAAGGCAAGGCTTATTTTAAAATTGAGGTTTTATCATAGCTTAAGTATACTTCTGGAGCAATTTACCTGTCTACTCTATTTCAAATTTTGATAGAAATACTTTGACTCAGAAATGTTGTATTAAATTTTGGCATTTACATTCTGTGTTCATCATCATATAAATGCTTTCATCCAAACTGCATTACATTTCTGTATAATTTTAGTCCACATTTATAAGCACACAAAGAACACACATAAGCAGACATTGAATTAAATGCAAATTTTGACTCTGTATGTATAGTAGAACTTCTTCTTGCATTTTGTTTGAATGCCTTCTTGCTGTGCTGTGCAATTTCAGGAGTTCAGCAGGGTACCTTTTAAAGTCTGTTAACCATTAAGAATGAAAAGTGTATCACCATGATTCGAAAATAAGAAATTCAGAGTAACCCCAGGGATGGATTTTCTAAAACTAAGATTTTATAGAGAAAAATCATAATTTAGAGGGAAAAACACGGAGACTGAACACATGTCAGTCACATGAAATACTTTGTGGATAATGGATTAGAAGTATAATATTCCACTCCAGAAGTTTCTTCTTGTGGAGAATGGCACAGCAGTTGTGGGTCTCCTTGGGGACTAGAGAGATGCTTAAGAGTGCTGGGTGCTTTTCCGAGGACCCAGGTTTGGCTCCCAGCACCCACATGGGGCCGCACAACTGTCTGTAACTCCCACTTCCAGAGGATCCAATGTCCTCATCTGGCCTCTGTGTATGTGCACGAGGCACACACATGGAGTGAAACAGTTAGAAGGGAAAGAGGGTGGTCTCCTCAGATTAAAAGTCGCCCCCACAATTATTCTGAGGTATTGGAAATATGCTTTCATGTTATTCCTGAGGAGTTTTCATTGATATTAATCCTAAATATATATTTGAATTTTACGATAGATTTTTTAGCTCATTAGAACAAATTATAATATCTCAGAGTGGCTAATTTCTTCATCAGGCATAACTTGGTAGTTTATGTGTGGGTAGGATTCATTCTGATAAGCTCTAAGAGCACTCCTTTCCTGAACTTATCAGTAAATAGTGCATATGTCATTGTCATTGCTTCCTAATACACATTTTAGAAATACAATGATCAGGAGGAAATAAACAGTTTTAATATGAAATAACTTATTTGTATTGTTAGAGGACTAAGTTATTTTGAGAATGTAGCTAATATATTGATTATCTTGGAAAACTATAAAAATTTACTAAAATCCATTACTAAATCATTTATCACTAGTTTGATAATAGAATTCTCCACCCTCCTTAGGCTATTCACTCGGTGGCTTGGCATCATGAAGGAAAACAATTTATTTGCAGTCATTCTGATGGTACTTTGACCATATGGAATGTGAGGTCCCCTGCTAAACCTGTACAGACCATCACTCCTCATGGTAAGAATGCTTCCATTTTAAAGACTACCCAAATTATAATGGATGGCTGTGTGGTTTGGGGGAGGTTGTTTCTGTTTTAATGGGTGAAGAATATTATGGTCATGTCATGGAATGAATATTGTAATATCTTCTGAATATCATTTCTTCATTTGTCTAAATGGCAGATCATGTTGTTAATTGTAAGAGACTTTAAACTTTTGTCATCTTAAGATTGTTCCAAGCTTTTGATGTGTATGTGACACTGTAGTTGATAATCAAGGCCCCAGCTGTGGGTCATTTTCTACATTTAAGAATGGTGTGTGAGTGCTGAAGGTCATCCAGAGTTTGTTGATCCCAGGGGACTCAGCAAGCTCATAGTCATCTTCCTGCAATATTTGTTACAACACAAGAATGCAGTACAGATCGGTCTCTACAGTGTTTATGGTCTCTTAACAGACAAGTCTCTAGCTGAATTTATTGTACAAAGTAAGGCAAAGAACATTTGATTTACAGAATATCAACCACTCATTCTGATACAATAAATTTTAGTCACAATCAATAGATGTTTTAGTTTTCTAGATGTTTTACGTTTCTAGAGCATATTCATCAATTCAATCAACTATTTTATTTATAGTACATGAAAGGGAGTTTTCATTCTATTAAGGGCCACTGAATTAAAATTACATTGAAGTTCATATACCTGAAAGTCAGTATTAAAATTAAGGATGAAACATACAAAAAAATCTATTTAGATAATTCACCATAAGCCTAAAACCATACCTGTTGTTTATATAAAGTTTCCTCTAATTTTTATATTTGAAAGGACTTTGCAGACTCCATAACATGCCCAAATAAGTCTGCTACTTAAATTCAAAGCATCAAAAAGGCAAAAGAATGAATACATCGAGGAATTATGAAGCTTCCCATGTGCCAGCTCCCTGGGGCCAGGGTGTGTTAAGTTTCTGGCTACAGCCATCATATCTGGCTGCTGGAGCTCAAAGAGAAACTCTCAGGGATTCTCTTGGAGTGATTGTGCCCGCTGATAAATTCTTACAGCCTATTATTTCAAAGTAACATTGTTAGCATTGGCAATATATTTTTCAGTTGTCAATTTTTTAGAAAGTCGCTTTCTAATTGGGATATAATTTGAGCCATGTAGGTAACTTAAAGTTTACTAATAGCAGTATTAAGATGAGCAAAATAAAGAAGATACAACTAATTTAATATTATATTTCATCTAACTGTAAATGTGCAAAAATGCTATTTCATCATGTGACTAAATATACAAAATTGAGATATTTTCCCTAGTATTGTACATTGCCACACATCTGAACTTGGACTGATCACATTTCAGGTAGCCACATGGTGGCAATCATATGGACATTGCTCTAGACTCAGGGTGTATGTGTCGTACAACAACAGTTTCAGCTCATTCTAGTTAGCAAAATTAACAATCATAGGTTAATTTTTGTCAGATTCATTTTTTCTCCTAAGCCTTTATACAACAGATGTTTATTGAGGACCTCCAGTCTCTTGTGGGTGAATTACTAGAAATTTATCAGCCTTGATAAGTTCACAATCAAGTACTTAAAGAGATTTATAAACTGATAACTCCAAACATTTTAATAGTTGTTAATAATAGCATATGTAGTGCTGCATGGCTATGCTGGATCTTGAAGAAGATGGGCATTATGGAGTAGAAAAGGACAGTGCAAGATGATTTTAGTAAGAATATGTAGAGGAGCAGAAGCATAAAAAGCAGGACATTGTAGGAAATCACTGCTAGTCTGGGTAGGGGTTTGATAATTAGCAGGAATGAAAACAGCCATGTGTGATGAAGAATATATATCGGAGTGTATAAAAAGTTTGAACCTCATGCTCAAGACTCAGTAAGTGGCTTTTCAGTGGTACACATAAATTTGACATCTTAAAAACATGCTTTAATGTTAATACATCAGAATGACCTGACAGGGCTCCTAGTTAGTGAGCAGTTGTATTAGGAGTAAATAAAGATAATTTGAGTATTGACAGGGGAAATGGATGCATGATGAAATTCTAGAATAAAATATCAGTAGGTCTTAGACCAACTCTTTGTAACTGGGTGACCAAAGAAGTTAAAGAAACATAACATTCTAAAAGACAAGAAAGAAAGAAAATGTGGAGTAGGGTAATTGTCTTTTATTAAGTTGAATTTTATAACTAATCAGATATTTTCAGTGGTTTGCCAACGCAGTCAGTTTACAGAGTTTAAAGAACTAGTCTGGGTTTTTACTTCAGTAAAATGATACTTAGTTGTGAAATCTATTGAGTCACTAGTGTTCTTTAATTTGTATGTACTTAATAAAATCAGAGCAAGGGCCTTTGTTGTTTGGTTTAGGAGCTGGTTACTTTAGGATTAATGATAAATGTTAGCTTGAGCCAGTGCCATCATTTAAAATGCTCAAGCTGGGAAAACGTGAGCATGTGCGTGAAGAATGATTTGTGTATGAAGAAAAATTTACAGATGAATAAAGATCAAAGTTGTAAGACTAAATGCCAACATACAATCTAAGCAATTTCAAAAGACAATTGAGCAAGAAAAGGAGATAAAAGAATGTTTTTGTCCCTAGCCAGTTTTTATGGAAGATATGCAAACTTAATCTCAGAAAAGCTCAGTAAATGTGCTGATGGCCTCTAAATACTGCCAGCTGTGTGGGCCTGGAACACACACTCAGTGAACACTACCCACGTCAGGCAGCTCACAATCACCAAGACTCCACTGCCAGGGGATCTGACTGTCTCTTGGCCTCCATAGACACCTGCTGTGATGCTGCAGTGCTGTCCTTGTACACATTCCCTAAGAATCAGTTCTTTTATGTCTTCCCAGTAAATGCTGAGAAATGCAGTTTCAATACGTAAATGCTTAACAGATTCATTTCTCTTTCTATAAATATTCTCAAGCTGTTTTCCAGAGGGATTATCCTTCTTAAGTGAAAAGAGAAGCCGTCTAAGCCTGGGCTCTTGTTTATAGGAGATTTTATTTGTGTTTTTATTTCTAGAGGTTCTAGGGTTTGAGCTAAACACCAAGCTCTGGTTTCTGCTGTTTAACTCATATATCTCTATTTGTTCTAGACTTTAGATTGTTTTTTCTTGAGTCAGTTTCAGTATTTAGCTTCCTAGGACTTTTCTATTCTTCTCTTAGAAATCTCATTTGCTGGCATATCATTCTACAGACTGTTTTACAGATTTGTGTTAATTTTGTATATATGTCTGTCTGTGTGTGGACTTGTGCGCATGCATGAAGTGCAGGCAGAAGTCAAACAGGGTGCCCTGGGGCTGGAGTGAAAGCCTAACAAGAGTGCTAAGACCTGAACTCAGATCCTCTGCAAGAGCAGTGTGCTCCTAAGCACTGAGCCTTCTCCCCAGGGCCTTGTTTTGTAATTCTGTCTCTGACTCTGTGATTTGATCTTTCCTCTTCTCTTAGAGTAGCTAAAGGTCAGTTTTAGTGTGTCACCTCAAAGTATTGTCTGAATTTCTTTAATTCTGATTATTTAGTAATGTGTTGTTTAATTTTCACTTATCTTTAATATCTCCATTATTTTTTCTTGCTACTGATTTCTAACTTCACTCTCTTTTGGTTGGAGACTTTTATCTTGTAGGAATTTATCCTTTAAATACTATTAAGATTTTTTTACAGTTTAATGAGGTCTGCTTTGAACATATTTTTCATTTTGAAATGTTTGAAAATACTTGAGAAGAATGTATATTCTGTTTGTTAGGTGGTGTGCTTCCTAGATGACTGTTAATTTAAACAAAGTTGGAAACTTTTGTTGTTTTGTAAATCTTCCATTCACTTATCCTGTATTCTCTAGAAATTAAAGTATTAAAGTCATTTACGTATTATTCTTAAACTGTCTGTTTTTACCTTCTTTGATTCCATTTTTGTTTCATATATATTGGTGCCATTATAGTAAGTATATATTATTTTTATGTTTCCCTGAGTTGGAGTTGACCCTTAGCATGATATCCTGTTAGACGGCTTGTTGTACATTAGGTCATAGACTTTCTGCAAAGCAATTTTATTTATATGTCCTTTACCTAGGAAGTTATCCCAAAGAAGTTTTCAGGATTCATCCATTAAACATATATTGGATATCTAATATATGCCAGACAGTGTTGGATACCAGAAATATGTAGATATAAAAAACCATACACACACTTGCTAAACAACAAGCAAATGAAGGAGAAACATGAAGTAGGCATTCTGGCACAAATCTCAAGTTGCAAAAGAAGACAGAGTGTGTTGGGGTGACAGTCCCTGAGAGTCCGCAAGACCATTTCCAGTTTCCATGATTTTTCAGAAGAAATGTAATGATATTGAGAACACTAATCTTCATTTTTTTAAAAAGGGAGGATAGATGTTTTCTGTTTCTATTTCTGTCACGAACCTTTAAAGTTAGATAATGAATAGCGATATTTTTAAATACAAGTATTTATAGGAGTAGGTTGGCTTATAATCATTTTATCATAATAGACAAATGGGGTCTTATTTAGACGAAATATCAATGAATTTCTTAACAATTTAATTTTGCAGTCCATGGTACTTGGGTGAAAATGTGATAGAGGTTTATTTTTTTCAGATTGTGCTACTTTAAGTTGTTTATTTACTAGGCAAGTTGAAATTCTATATTGCTCATCTAGTAGTCACAGTTAACATTTGGGAAGACTACCATTTTTCTCTTGCTAGGATTTAATCACATAAACGTTAGGTTATTTGATTCATTTGCCCCTTTGATAGTATTTCACAGAGTTATTTGACTTCATCATTACAAAATGTCTTGTTTAATACAAATATTTCTTTCAGAGTTATTTTAAAACATTCATTGATGGGTTTCATTTTATATTTCATTTTCATCTTATTAACTAGTGTATCTGAAATTAAGAGCTATTTTGTCTAAAAGGGAATTTCATTATACTTCATTTTCACTTTATAAATTATCAATGTAAGAATGTAGAGTAATATAGAATTTAATGCAGGAAAATATATTTTAGGAAAACAGTTAAAGGATGGGAAGAAACCAGAGCCATGCAAGCCTATCCTGAAGGTGGAGTTCAAAACGACTAGATCTGGGTAAGCTTCCTTCATTGCTGTGTTCATAGTTACAGGTGATGCAAATAGCGTTGGAAGCTGTTTAGTAAACTTTGAAGCTCTACTTTAGAATAGTCTACCCTGTCTTTAGCTTTATGCTTTCACAAGTTAATAAAATACATAGGATAAATTACCTGAGGCTCTTTGATTTTAGCAGTTGATTGGAAAGTAAATTATTTTTCATCCCAAAAGTAATTGATGTATTCTGTTGGTCCTAGGAACAGTAATGCTTATTTGCTAGTGTGAAAAATGTGGAAAAGGTGATGAAGGGAAATAATAAAAATATAATCTACCCTACATGTGTTAACTAAAAGTCATACATTCAAAAATTAAATTTCATAATGTTTGACAGTTACAGAAATCAATGCAACATGCTACTTTCAAAAAGCTGTCAATTTTATTACAACACCAGTGCTCATATGAAAGAGTTATATGGATTAGATGATTCCCCCAATGTAATTGTCTTAATTTTATAAATCAAGAGCTTAATTTTATAAATCTCACATGTGTCTATAGAAAGTCTTTTACAGTGTTTCTTTGAAAATTTTGCATCTCTTTAATTTCCAAAGGAAGAGTTTTTAAAGACTTTCTATTCTAGTTATTGTCAGTTGTCTTTACTAAAGGAATCTAAAGAGTGAGAATCTCTCAAATCGAAGCAGAAAACTGTGCATTGAGGTCCAGAAATCAGTTTTGATTCTGATGCTGCTGGTCCATTTACGTATTGCAGTTTATAAACGTGAGAGACCTGCCTTCTTTCCTTTTTTAACCTATCCTGACTCAGCTTTGCCCTGTCCTTCTGTGAGAAAAGGCTCTGGGCTCTTTTTGTCGGGAGAAATTGCTCTTACTCATTTTTTTTTCCATTCCTAGCCTTTCTGTGAGTTCTGGGAGGAATACACTCTTAGAGTTGATTAAGAAACAGATAGTAAGTTGAATGAGATCCAGGAGGCAGAACACCTGTTCAGTTGACCTTGGAAGCCCTCACTATCTAATCTTTGGGGCAGAGTTGTTTGATTTCTTCTAGCTTGGATGTTCTCATTTTTACATACATGTTCTATAGGTGACTGTGATGAATTTAGTAAGATATTCATGTATGCACATAACTCTTTGCAGTAGGAAACCCTCAGCCACCAGTTAGTATTTGTCACATTTGTCCTATTCCAAAAGAATTAAAATAGGAAAAGTAGACTCTTTAAAGCAGCTGTAACGGAAGATAAAAAAGGAAAAATCCCAAATAAAAGGTCTTCTTTTATGGATCATAAAGTGAGGTCTTTAAATGTTGCAAACCAAGGAGCAAGCCCAAGCCACTGTCCTCTGTGCTCAACCTCTGTCTGTTCTGTGTCATGACAGTGCTGCTGGTACAGTCCCAGTTTACCCAACACGGGAGCGCCACTTTCTTGTCACAGATTTGAACTGAAATTTTTAAAAAGATATATTGCATACCTGTTTTTATGTCTGTAGCTCCCTGTAGCTAAATTTGGAACCTGCCTAGAGGTTCATCAACAGATGACTAAAAATGTGACATGTATACCTAACAGAATTGTATTTGGCTATAAAGAATGGAGTTATGGCAATGTCAGGAGAATGGATGGAACTGGAGATTCTCATGGTATTTAAAATACAAATAATGGAGAAAAGAAAGGTCTATTGAAACTACAAAATCTAAAAATGAAGATTTTAGAAAAGAGTCAAAGAGGGAAGCCAAAGTATAGATACAGAAAAGACATTCTTTCTTAAATACCCTGCAGTTTTTGCGTGTGTGTGTGTGTGTGTGTGTGTGTGTGTGTGTGTGTGTGTGTGTGTTATGCATCTCCAGCAAAGCAAAACAGAAAGTCCCTGTATTGTATTGGCTATTTGTCGCTTTGGCAGGATATCTGATACAAACAACTCCAGGGGAGTAGGGTTTATTTTGGTTCACACTTAGGAGGATATACAACCCACCACGGCTGGGAGCCTGACTGTGAGGGCTGGGCTCGCTGAGCCAGTAGGAAATAAAGTATGTGGCCGAGCCTCGTGTGCCACCAGGAAGCAGAGTGGAGATCGGCTGTGCTGTGCTCCTTTCCTCACTTTTCCACTCCGGGACCAGCACCCTCAGAAGGGGCCAGCCACAGCCAGGCGGGGCTTCCTGTCACAGTTCAGCCTCACTGCAACACCCTCCCAGCCACACCCAGAGTTTATCTCTGAGATGATTTAAGTCCTGTCAAGTTGACAACCAATATTAACAGGCCCAAGTTTGCCCTTGTTGGCTTGAAATCCAATGATACCACTTTGAAACCCTAACCTGCCACCTCCGTTCATCTCTATGTAACACACATTTGATCTACCGGGAAATACGCAAATGGTTCCAACGTTGTTCACAAGTCTATATTCAGAGTCTGCTGGGTCTCAAAAAATTCTCTTTAGTACCTGTCTAAAACAAAACAAAACTTCATCATTTACAGTATATACTAGTGCAGAGTAAACACTTGAAATGGAAGAATGGGGTGTGACTGTGGTCACTTATCAAAACCATAGCTCATGTTTATTTACAAATCCATTTACTATTATCATCTAGTCATCAAAATAAATATAAACATAACTTTTTGATGCAAAGTATCAGAGAATATATTTCCATCAGACCGTCCAGGTTTTTGCACTACAGATAGTTGTGTTCTCTCTGAAATAGAATTGTGCTTTGCACTTGCAAACAAGTGTTGATGATTTATAAGATTATTAACGTTTGTAATCACACAAAATTGATGATGTAGTTTCATGTCTGATTAATGAACAATATAGTTAGGAGTGCTAATTATGGACCCATCTTCTAGCATTTCCACTGAAACCTAGTAGGACATCATGTAGTTGTGCTGTAGTAGGAGAGCAAGTAGCTGTGCTGTTGCAGGACAGTAAGGAGCTTTCTGGTATTCTGTATGCCTACTGGTACTTATGTGTTTCTTTAGTATTGTTTAAGGCATAGAGTCATTTACTACTCGACTCTAATTACTTGAGTTTCTTTAGCTTTAGAGTCATTTACTACTCGACTCTAATTACTTGAGTTTCTTTAGCTTTAGTGTGAGTGTTGGTCCTGGCTTTCAAGGAATAGGCATTTAGAGGCTCACTGGAGTCTTCTGATTCTTGTGCCTTCTCTATTCTGGTATATGAGTTCAAGGAGTCATTCATTGCCTCAGACAGGTAAGGAGAACATGGGAGCTGTCGCTGTAACAATAAACGTCACACTTGTTGAGGCTATAGGTAACGTTTATTGTAGAAATTACTTACAAGAGAAAATGGGCAACCCAGATGAGTCAAGTAGCTTTCTCGCCACCGAACCGGAAGCAGAAAAGAGAGCTAGCACAGCTCTGCCGCAGTCTTTTATAAGAACCTCCAAAAGTGAGCCTGGCTAGCAGCATAGCTCACCGCCCTGTCTCTAATCATGTCCAAAGTGGGTGTGGTTAGCACCGCCCTATCATTACTACATCCCTATGAGCCTCTAGTGCACCAAGTGGCTAATGGGGCAGTCCTAAGTCTCCTCCTACGGGGAGCTATTGTCAAAGTAATATTACCTTTTAGTGGTATTTAAAATGACTTTCATAAAACTGTATTAAATGTGTACATATAAAAATATGCACACATACACACATACACACATATAAATTTGTGACATGGGCATGATCCAGAATATCAGAGATTACAGAAAGAAAATAGATGAACTCTGGCAATTAATGTTAGGAACAGCTGGCTTCTCTTCATTCTGGCATCACCTCATCTGTCATCACTTTAGTAGCTTTGGCCTGACTCTTCTAGACAGCCCATCTCTCCACCTTATTAATTTCTTCAGAATATGAACTGTGTGGGTAGATTGGACCTGAGAGTACTGGCTTATCCCCCAAAGCACAAATAATCAAACATACTTGAGTCAGTGAATAGGTGGTATCATGGAACAGCTTTGAAATTTTGCAGATTTTGGTATGTAGAGTTAAATCCTTGAAAATTGTCCTTGTACGTGACTAATTTATCCTGGTAAAGTGTTAATATTTTCTCCTTAAGCTTTGAGTATAATGAACTTACTGGAGTTTCATAAGTTAAGTACGAATTTCCTGGGAGCCACACTCCAAGTAGAGAGACAGCATATGACATAGCAAGCTTACAGTGAAATAGACAATGACTCAGTGATGAGTCAGTCGGTATTCCCTTCAAGTTTTTTCTTCACATTCTTTTCCTTCTGCTTTTAGGAAGGAAATAGATCTTGCACAGCCACAGAACAACAACAACAACAAGCACTTGTCTCATGAGGACAATCCCAACTAGTCGCCATAGTGTTAGTTAAGGCTGTGAGCTGCTGGCTTAGCTCATGGGTGGCACTGGACATTGTAGTGTAACTCAGCTGTCCTCTCCTCTTGCCTCTAGTGCTGATGTTACTGGGTTTTGAAATTGGTTGCATGTAAATTAGTACTTTCCCACTGTCCTTGAAATACCACTTATAAAACTACCCAGCGATCCCACTCTGTAGACATTTAAGAAATATTTGTTAACCAGTGAACTCAAATTAATGCAAAGTAGCAATGGGATAAGTTTGTCTTTATTCATTTTATGTGATAAGAAGTACAAGAAAAGTAAATAGTTTCTGCTCACCATGATCATAACCATAAAATGATTAGGGTTTGAAACAATGAATGTAAGAGTGTGGTTTTACTCAAGAAAAATTGTTGAAATTTGAGTTTTCAAATTTAGTCAGAAAAGTAATATTATCCAAATCACATTAATGATGAATATAAATAAGAGGTTAAAAATGCTCATGAAACATATACTTTGCTTACTAACTCATTTGAAGAACAGTATAACATTTTCCTAGTATGCTGGGCACTGTTCAAGAAACTATTACAGATGGAACAATCAATGAACAACATATATAAAGAAGGTTTCATCGAAGGTATACTTTGATGAGACATACAATATACAAAGTAAATTCACTTTAAATGGTAAATACTATAGAAAAAGTAAGGCAAATGTGTAGGTAGGATGCTTGAGGCGTATCAAAACACACACACACATACACACACACTTATACTTTTTCATTTCCTCACATTTTCTACATTTTAAATAAGGTGACTAAGTGAGAAAAAAAATTATGATTTTCCCCAATACTTATATATATTATAAGGTATCTAAACAACTGCTAATCTAACAAAATCTCAATGAAATTTATTCTTGTTTTATATAAAAACGATTTGAAATTTCAATTTTTGAATTATGTATGTATTTTGGTGCTTGTTGCAAAAGGGAAATATCACAGTGGACAGTTATAGGGATTTGCTGACATCAACAGTTAGAATGGATAACTCTTACTTAGGACTTTGTGGACCAAGCATTGCTTGGTTGCAGAGTTGTCTGAGAGTTGGGTACCTATCTCTATGTCTCCGTGTCATAGATGTGGAATACAGCATGCAGAGATATAAATGCTGGATCTTGAGCTCCAGACCTGGCCAGTCACCGTTGTGTGTCATCATGTGCTACTTATGGTAGATATGAAGGCTTAAAAATTCCACAAATGAGCTGGGCGGTGGTGGTGCACGCCTTTAATCCCAGCACTCTGGAGGCAGAGGCAGGCGGATCTCTGAGTTTGAGGCCAGGCTGGACCGACAGCCTCCAAAACAATACAGAGAAATCCTGTCTCATAAAAACCAAAAAGAAAAAAAAATCCACAAATGTAAAAAAAGTAGGATGCCATCATGAAAAATACATATACACAAGCATTTTTTTTCTTGAAGACTAAAGCATTGTAATGAGGGGCTGGAAAGACAGATGGACAGTTTAGAGGGCATTTTGTTCTTGCAGATGATACAAGTTTGGTTACCATCACCCATATCAGGAAGCTTACACGTAACTGCCTGTAACTCCAGCTCCAGGGAATATGGCTTCCTATTCTGGCTTCCTCAGGGACTTTTGCTCATGTGCACATTCCCACAGATGTACCTTTAATTGAAAATAGATATTTTAGAAAAAAATTTAAAGTACAAATGAAAATATTTTTAAAAATCATGTAGACAATTTTAATGTTTTACATGGCACACATTAAATAACTTCATACAAACAAATATCAATTTAAGGAAAAGATGAAGAAATATACCCATATTGTGATATATGAAAAGATATTTAGGTGCAGGTTTTAAAACATAGGTCTAGATTGTAGACTCTAGATAAACTGTATAGTTTTCATGATGACCAGTATGTTGTGGTACTGGAAACATAGGCATTAATGAGGCAAGCAGCAGCTCTCAGGGGTGTGATAGGAGTGAAGACTTCAAAGTTTGTCTAGGAGGTTTCTTAGGAAACACTAAAGCCCTGTAGGAAACTTTTTTGAGTAACTTTTCCCATTTGTTGAGTGGTTTCTAGCTAGTCCAATTCTTGATGTATCCTTGACAAGCAGTATATTATGTACCACAGTTAACTGAAGCTGTGAGGTTTTGAGGGAAATGTTTGTTGAGAAGCCTTGTTAGGACCAAGCCACACAAAAACTTAAGACTCTATGGCAACTGTTCATAGGAAATAAAATAAGAACTAGGAGGAGGTCAAAGAGTCAAATTGCATCATGCTCATTTTTATTTTAGTTTAATCTTCGGCAAGCTAGGTTTGAGCTTAATCACATTAAAATTTCCACATACAATTCTTCCATTATGTGATATATAAATATTTTAGAAGATACTATCACTAAATAACCATGCGATACAGCAGCACAAATAGTGTCCACCCCAATATTGTAATCCATACTATTTTTTTTTATTTCCAGGGAACCTTTTATTATTTTGTCAGGAGGCTTGTCATATGATACTGTGGGGAGAAGGCCTTGCTTAACAGTGATGCACGGGAAAAGCACGGCTGTGCTGGAAATGGACTATTCAATTGTTGACTTTCTCACACTCTGTGAAACACCATACCCAAACGGTAAGGCTTACTCTTCCTAATATTGATATTCAAAAAAGATGTATGTTGTCTTAAGTAGTTTCCATGTACTATTGTCCTAATGCTATAAAGGACGAGATCCTGCTGTAAGAACATGGTCGATGTTATTTCAGCCATTGGTTTTCTTCAGTACTCTTTATTTTTTCTATATTGTATATTAATATTAAATACCTTAAGAAGACACGCACTGTCCATGTTAAATCTTTAAATTCTGTGAAGCAGAATTAACAGATTGGCCATGTTTCTCAAGAGAAGTAGAGATGAGTAGGTATGTGTGTATGACTTGGGGGAGTAAGAGTCTAAAACTGCCAGGGTGAGTTCGAGTCATGGTTCGGGAATCTCAGTTGTGGGTTGAAGCCTCACACAGAATTGCTGCCTTTGCCCTTAACACCTTCATCTGATAGGTTTAGGCCATGCCCAGCCATTCAGCGTAACAGCTTTGTTCAGCTTACCAAACTGAACACTTGTCACTCTAAAGGGCACCAAAGCATAGATAAATTAGCACAGAGCATTAATTCAAATGTGTGTTCTTTGATTCCATTTGGAACTCTTTGAAGTTTAAAGATATAGTTATTAACAGACACAATTAACATTTGAAAACAATAACAGAACTCTACCAGTTCATTCAGAGATTCCCTAATAATTGATGGGGATTAAGATAGGGAGCCCATTCCCTATGGTGGGACACTCTCTCAGCCTAGATACATGGCCTAAGTCCTGCCCCAAATGATGTGACAAATGGATGATCCCCCATGGGAGGCCTCACCCTCCCTGAGGAATGGATGGGGGGGTGCAATGGAGGAATTGGTGAGAATGGGAGAACAGGAGGGAGAGGGAACTGGGATTGGTGTGTAAAATAAGATTGTTTTTGATTTAAATGAAAATTAATTAAAATAAAATAAGTAAAAGATGTTGTTTTGATGTCTTTGCCACACCCCTGGAATATGTAATGTCACAGAAGTTTTTTTGGAGAATGTTCTTGTCTTACTCATCTTTTCAAATATGTAAGAACTTTGAATGGATTATTTTGTGCATTTATCTCATCCAAGACATACAAATTATATGAACCATACTGGTCTCATCAGAATGCTAAACACTCAGAAATCAAAGGATGTCAGAGACATCCATTGCCTTGTGGCTGCCCTCTTGGGTCTGTAAAGAAATTGGTCATGCATTGTTCTCATATTCCAGATTTTCAAGAACCATATGCTGTGGTTGTCCTGCTGGAAAAGGATTTAGTACTGATAGACCTTGCACAAAATGGGTAAGAACACTGGGGGAGCAATTCCATCGCTATGTGGGGGAAACCTGCACAAGACCTCTTTTAGCAAATCTTTAGCTATTACATTCCTTTGAAAACTTTACATTTATATAAATGATCTCTTTTTAATGCTCCAGATCCACATTGCCATAATCTGAGATTCATTGATTACAATGAGTTTCTTAGATGTTTGTTTCTTTTTTCCTTTTATTGAAAAAATATTTTTCTTTATTTAATATATTCTGATAACAGTTCCCTTTCCCACTACTCCTCACTTTCTTCCCATCTCCCTTCCCTCCAGATCCACCCCTTTTCTGTTACTCACTAAACAATAAAGTCTTCTAAGTGAAATAAAAAATATAATGAAATAAAACAAAATGGGACAAAACAAACAGAAGGATAAGAGCCAAAGAGAAGGCAAAAGAAGCAGACCCACTCATTCACACATTCAGGAATCCTATAAAAAAAATTTAAACTGAAAGCCATAATTTATTCACAAAGGACTTGAGGGGTAAAAGGAGAAAAGAAAAAATTGCATATAAATATAAGTCAAAAATAGGTAAAGTTAATAAACACAAACAAATAAAACAAAGGAAAAGCCAAACACATTATTATGGGACAAGGAACCTCCAGAGACACCATGAGATGGTTTTCTGCCGGCCATGAGCTCATTTGCAGGTGGTTGTGAATTGGAGATGGCTTCTATGTTAGTGGTGGGGGCATGTGTCCATGGCTCCTTTCAGCTCTGGGACCTCATCTGGCTGGTGCAGACCTGTGAAGGCCCTGTGCACACCTTCTTATGTGCATCAGTCATGTGGAGTCAGAGGGCCTTGTTTCCAGGGTGTCCTCCACCTCCTCTGCCTCTTAACTCTTTCTGCCTCTTACTCCATGAGGTTCTCTGAGACCTGAAGGGGAGGGCTTCAGTGGAGACAGCCCACTTAGGGCTGAGTGTTCCAAGGTCTCTCACTTTCTGCATAATGTATTTGTTCTGATTTGCTGCAGGAGAAAGCTTCTCTGATGATAGCTAAGCAAGGCACTCATCTATGAATATGTAAGAATGTCACTAAGAGTAATTTTATTGCTATTTTTTTAGACTAGTAGTATTTGGTTTTATCTTAGGTTCTTGGGCTGTCTAGTCTCTGGTTCTTGGTCACCAAAGTGACATTGTAGATGGGTTCCATGTTGTGCAATGGGCCCTCACTCAAATCAGATATTGGTTGGTTACTCCCACCAGCTTGTCCACCAATACCTTAGTGTATTTCACAGGCAGAACATACTGTAGATCAAAAGTTTTGTGTCTGGAACGGTGTTTGTGTTTCTGTTTTGGTAGCCAGCAGAGTGCCTTCCTATAGCAAAGGCTCTAGCATGTAGAGGTGAAGGCTTCATGTAGGCATCAATTCAACTTCTCTGTGTTCAATAATTCATGATTTTCTTGTTACTTAACTGAAAGTTTCTAGGATTTCTTACATTTCAGCTTCATGCTTGTATACACTAAAGCCATACACAAGCCTGTACAGAGTGGACCACCTCAGTTAGCCTCGCTCCCTCTGTGCAGCCTTATGTATTGTCTACATCCGTGCCAGATTAACTGTAACCTACATTGTCTTCCTTACTACTCTAACTTAAATCACTGATTGCTATTGTTGTGTTAACTGCTCTATCTGCAGTTAAAAACTGGTCTTATTTCCTATGAGTTCTCTTCCTGTCTTCCCATAGTGGCCTTAATTCATGGAGAGCTTCTTGATGTTTAACATCTTCTATTACCTCCCACTTGTTTCACTGTCATTAGAATCCACACAGTTGTCACCATGTGCTTTATGACTTTCCTAGACTGTTCTACAGACATGTCTGTCGGACCTGTAAATCCCCAGACCCCATCTCAGCTCTTCGTAACAACTTCTGTCATTTGCCTTGTTTATATCTGTTATCAGTGATACTCTCTGTGCGGTGAATGGAAGCACCACATTACTTATTTTCTCCTGAAAAAGTAAAAATCACAGTAGCTTCCTTTGAGCTTGCATTCATCATTCGCAGTTACCTTGGGCCAATGTGGTTTTGCACCCCCCCCACCACACACACTATTTGACAGTGTCTGTATAGGCATTTTATTAGGTGGAATGCTACTGGCATCTAGTGGATAAAACACAAATAGACAGTGCACAGGACAGTTTTTCCAGTAAAGGTTTCGCTAAATGTGAGCAGTATTCAGGTTGGAAACCTAATGCACATGAGTGTGCTGTTTGCCTGGTTACTTTTTAAATCAATCCTATTTACATTTCAGGTTAGTTACCTGTTACTTATAACAATTCTTTGTAAGTTTTTTCTAATTTTGTTTTTAAAATAACATACCATTTGAAAAATAATTCTGTGTGACAGTCTTAGAAAATATGTTATTAATGTATTTTTCTTCATTTTCATCTATTAGGTAAGTTGTTTTACTAGTGGAATTTTGCATGTGCTCTGTACTGAGAGAGGGTTAAGTCAAATACTATGCAAATACTAATCTAGTCACAGGGAATAGTTTTGCAGAACTGTCAGTTAAATATGTGAATACTAGATCCTTGGAGCTAAGGAGAAATTATTCTGAAGAAAGCTAATTTTTATTATTACTCTTTTTCTGTGTGTGTTTCATCTTTGTTTGAGGGCAAGAGTGGAGATGATTGACCTTAATTTATGGTCTACATAAGTTTTTGCTGAAATACTACTTATTGTTTTAGTATTACTAGCAGTAGGAAAATTAATAAATCTAATATATACTGGATGGCCATTTTCTCCCTTCGGAGTTAGCTTTCCACCTTTACTTAGTCCTCTCTGGAAATGCTCTCAGATATACCCAGAAATGCACTCTGCTGTCTACTCTCTCAGTTCAAGTTATGTGTGTGATTAACCCTCCCATAAAACAGCTTTCTGGATTTAATATTGGATAAGGTATCACACAGATGAAGAAAAAGAGAATTGGGATTTGTGCTAGCTGAACCAGCAAAGGGTGGGGTATTTGATAATGTGATGCAGGTATCATTCATGTCTCAGCAGTTAAGTTCTGCTTCAGCCACCTCCTAGCAGACAAATAAGCCTTGGTTTATCAGCAGAGTGTATCAGAAGTTACTCTTCAATGTTTTTACATATTTACATAAAGTAAGTCAATGTAATCTCAGAATGTATAGCAGTGTCTTCATGGCTGTGGTAATGTGTTTTCTTTTTCCTGTTGTTAAAGATACCCTATATTTGAGAATCCCTACCCTTTGAGTATACACGAGTCCCCTGTTACATGTTGTGAATATTTTGCTGATTGTCCTGTGGACCTCATTCCTGCACTTTATTCTGTTGGAGCTAGACAGAAACGTCAAGGCTACAGCAAAAAGGTACCAAACCCGAGTTCACTGTTCAATGTAGCATATTATGATTATTTTTAATTTGTCACCTTGGGATGTTGGTAACACCTTTAACTTTGTAGGAAATCATTTTTAGAAGTCAATTATGTGTACTGTGTTCATACCTACATAAAATACCTATACATAGTATACAACGTATCTATTATATAGAATATGTATTCTCAGGTCAATTTCCAATGGTTTAGGGTTTTTTGTTTTTGTTTTTTTTTTTATAGGAATGGCCCATCAATGGAGGTAATTGGGGCTTGGGTGCTCAAAGTTACCCAGAAATAATTATTACAGGGTAAGTAAAAGTATATTTTTTGCCAATTAAATGAACATTAGCTAATATGCTTGCTTAGGATAGTTTGAATTTTAACTCATTTGGTAAGTAAAGTTTTTATCTATGTTACAACATAATGAGAAGTAAGTTATCAGCAAGAACTTTGATGACTCCCAGTGATCTGAACCTTTTACTCATCTTTGTGAATGAGTTTGCTGAAAAGTAAAAATACAACTTTTTTTTCCCTGTTTCATCACATGTTTCTCTCTTTTGTTTGTCCTAGGCATGCTGATGGGTCAGTTAAGTTCTGGGATGCTTCTGCAAGTAAGCATTTTGAATATTTGAGTATTTAGTCATGTCTCATTGCCATTGCCCTTATGTATGATGTTTTAAATAATTGTATCAACCACATTAGATTTGAAAGTACTAGATAATCAGCACAATATTGGCTTATCAAATGTGCGAGATGAGAATTTTGAAGAATCCAGATATTTTAATGTTATTAGGAAGTCAAATAATAATTCTCAAGTGTTCCAATATTCAAATATCATCTTCAGAATTTCTCTCTAGAGGTCAAAAATGGACATGAACATAAATATATTTCAAATAGAAAATGCTTATGTCCCATTCTAAAGTACTATTACAAAAGATTATGTTGTCCTTATGAACAGACCTTGTGATCAGATAGCAAAACAGGGAAGAAACAACCTTAGTGACTGGAGACCATTTATAGCAAGCATTTATGGTAATCCACTTAACTCAGGATAGCTGGTGTTTTATAGGAATGTTTGATAATACTGGTGCCTTTTTGGGAGAAAGTTTATATATAGCATGCCATTTTAAGGAATAAAATATGTTCTCCATATGTTCACAGCGAAGATTTTTCTCCAATTTCCTTTTGTAGTTTTTCTTCAGGCTATTTAAATCCTTTGTGATGGTGGAAATGTCTGAATATATAATATACTGGAAAATAGATAGAGAAATGAAAGTATGCTTTAGGTAAATATAGGCTATTTTTCTTCCATAACATGTGATTAACAATTATATTTGGTTTTTGAAGATTTGATGGAATTTTTTTATTTAGAGATTTTTCATATAATATTTTGATCATATTCTTTCCTCTTCCTCAACTCTGCCTAGATCCTTCCCACCTCCTCCCCAAAAAAAAAGTAAAAGAGGAATAAAATCAAAACAAAAACCAGTAGGACAAAAAAAATACCAAAACAAAAATTACCCTCCCATACACACACACAAAATGGAGTCTGTTTTATTTTGATCAAATATTCCTGGGCCTGGACCCTACCCTGGAATGTGGTTGATATGCCCAGTGACACCCTACTGGAGAATACTAATTTTCTCTTTCCCAGCCTGTAGCAATTTGAAATAACTTCTTGATGAGTGTTGGATTTTGTGTCTACTTCCCCTTCTCCATGCTGGGACTTTGTCTGGTTTGAACTTGTGCAGATCTTATGCATGCTGTCACAGTCTCTGTGAGTTCATATTGCCTCACTATTTTGAGGAGGATTTAATAAAGACATCCCCTTTAGGGCTGAGTGCCAAAATCTCCCACTCTCTATCTGTTGTCCAATCATGGGTCTCTTTGTTAATTACCATCTATTGCAAGAAGACGCTTCTCCAATCAGAGATGAGATCTACGGGTGTCACAACATGTCCTTCTGAGTCACTTTATTCTTGTACTTACCGAATAATAGTAGTAGCTTTTCCCCCAGGGCCTATGGCCTAGCTAGTCTCAGGTTCTTGACCACTTCCACAGAGGCAGGTATGGGTTCCATGTCATCAAGTAGGCCTTAAATCCAAATTTTTTAAAAAGTGGTTGATTAATTTCAGACTATTTGTGCCACTGTTGCGCCGGGGTTCTTTGTAAGCAGGTCACTGCTGTAGGTCACAGAGTTTACAGCTCAGTGACATTTCCTCTTCCTTGAAAGTTCTCCTCCCATCCAGGTCCCTTGACAACTACCAACTTGCGAGCTGACTTTTGTGCAGGTTGATAAAATCTTTCTATGGATTATGGCCTTTCTAAATCATTTATTTCATTTTAATTTTAGTAGACCATATATATCTAGAAATTAATCCATTTCTTTTAGGTTTTCTAGCTTGTTGGAGTGCAAATTTTTAAATTATATCCCTATGATTCTCTAAATTTCCTCAGTAATGTCTCATTTTGATATCTAATTTTTTAAATTCAGATTTTTTTATGTGCCTTTTGATTAATTTGACTGGAAGTTTGTTGACTTTTCTCAAAGAACCAAAACTTTGTTTCCTTGATTCTTTGGATTGGTTTTATATGTTTCTGTTTCATTGATTTCTCCCCTTAGTTTGATAATTTATTTCTTGCCATCTGAGTACTCTTTTTTTCTGGTTGCTTTTTGTTTCAGATCTTTTGAGTGTGTCATAAATAAGTTATTAGTATGTGATTTCTGCAGGGTGTTGGTGTAGCACTTAGTGCTGTCCTAGTGTCATGAGCGTGCTTCTTAGAACCTGTGACATCATTCCCATAAGCTTGGGTGTGTTGTGTTTTCACATTTATCCAATTATAAAATGTTCCTAATTTCCTACTACTTAATTTCTTTCTTGACCCAGTTTTCATTCAATAATAAATTGTTCAATTTCCATGAGTTGGCATACTCCCTGCTGTTCCTTTGTTGTTACTGTGCAGCTGTAATCCATGGTGTTCAAGTGGGATGCAGGTACTATTTCAGTTTTCCTGTATCTATTAAGACTTGCTTTGTGTCCTAATATGTGCTCAGTTTTGGAGAAACGTCCATGGGCTGCTGAGAAGAAAGTATGTTCGTTAGTGCTTGAATGGAATGTTTTTAAGGTGTCTGTTAGGTCCACTTGATTTCTGACAACACTTAGCTCCAGCATTTCTCTGCTTAATTTTTGTCTGGATGACCTGGGTATTGGCAAGAGTGAGATATTGAAGTCATCTGCTATCAGCTTGCTTTTAAGTTCATTTTCTTGGAATACCTCTATCCTTTTATTAGTTGGTATCTGTCCTTGATGGTGAAATATATATCTTGAATGCATCAGAAAGATGGATCATGTTTTCTAATCCAGTCTGTCAGTCTTTTTATTGGGGGAATTGAGACCATTGATATTGAGAATTATCAATGATGTGTCTGTAAGTTTCTGTTATTTTGGTTGTAGTAGTATCAGTGTTTTTTTGGCCTTCTTTTGATGAACCATTCTAGGATTGTTTATTCCTTGTGTCCTCTTAGATACAGCTAAGCTCTTCAGGCTGAAGTTTTTCTTGTAGTGCCTTCTGTATAACTGGATTGATGAGCAGCAATTGCTTAAATTCGTTTTTATCATGAAATGTTCTTTTCTTCTCCATCAATTGTGATTGACAGTTTTGGTGCATATGGTAGTCTAATCTGGCATCTGTAGTCTTCCAGAGCTTATACAAAATCTTTCCTGGCCTTCCTGGTTTTCAGAGTCTCCATTGAGAAAGAGGTCAGGTGTTATTCCCACTCACCTGCCTTAATGTTACTTAATCTTTTTCCCTTAGAATTTTTAATATTATTTTTTTGTTCTATATGCTTATTCTTTTGATTATTATGTGTTGTGGGGAATTTCTTTTCTGGCACTGTCTATCTTGTATTCAGTATGCTTCTTTAACTTGATAGATATCTCTTTCTTTAGAATGGGTAACTTTTCTTCTATGAATTTGCTAAAAATATTTTCTGTGCCTTTGACTTGCATTTTTTCTCCTGTCACCACTCCAATTATTTATAAATTGGGTCTTTGCACAGTGTTACAGGTTACCTGGATATTCTGTTCCTGATTTTTTTTTATTTAACATTTTCTTTAACTGAACTATTCAGTTCTTTGACCTTGTCTTCAAGACCTGAAATTTTCTGTTCCATGACTTCTAAGCTGTAGGTGAGGTTTTTTTTTAACTTCCTGAGTTTGATTTCAGTTTGAGTTTTCTTTTAGTTTTCCTATTTCTCTGTTAAATTCTACTTTCATGTCTTGAATTGTTTTCATTGTCTCATTCAACTGTTTGTTTATATTCTCAGTCTTCATTGGGACATTTATTCAGTTCCTCTTTAATGCCCTTGAACATTTTCATGATTGATATTTTTTAAGTCCTTGGATTATGTTTCAGCTAAATTGCTTTGCTGGATTCCTATTACAATAGTTTTGCTGGCTTCGAAAAGAGGTGTATTACCACTGGGATCTAGGTACCTAGAGTCATGACTGCTAAAGTATTTCATTATTTAGATGTCTGCTCTTACCTTGTTGGGCACTTGTTCAAGTCTTCGATTGCTGTTGACCACTCTGGGTTCTAACCAGGTGTGGCATCTATGGGGTCCCTAATCAGCAAAGTATGGAGGCTGTTGGTTCCTGGTAGAGAATGACTTATGGGTTGGCAGGGAATCACAGAAAATGGAGATGGACAAGGAAAAGCTGAGAGGGATGGAAGAGAAGAATTAGCACTTTTTGATTTTCAGCCAAAATTTCTAATACACTTTCTTCTAGTAACTCTACAAGTACTGTATAAATTAAAAACATCTAAATTGTTTGAAAAGTCAAGAAATAAAGATGACCGACCAAACACCGACATTGTAGATGAAGATCCATACGCCATTCAGATCATCTCCTGGTGCCCAGAGAGCAGAATGCTGTGCATAGCTGGAGTGTCAGCTCACGTCATCATTTATAGATTCAGCAAACAGGAAGTGGTCACAGAAGTCATCCCGGTAATCACCTCTGTACTATTTCCTTGTCAGTTGTCTGATGTCTGATGCTCTTAAAAATTTGTAAACAGTTGGCAATTGCTTTTGAATAAAACTTAAAAGCATTTTAGTGTTTATATAATCTGTTTTGTGAAAAATAGCACCTTTGCATCTATTTTAAAGGACTATCTGAAACTTCTAGTATGTTATGTCTTTTATTTAAGGAGTATCAACTTATTGGTATTCCATACATTCTAATATCTTGATGGCTATGTGTGTACATGTGTGAACTCCTACTCATGTACATAAGTTTTTAAAAGTTAAGTCAAAACTTTTATTTTTTTTTAGAAATATAACCTATTTGCTACTTTAAAAATATTCTTTCTGGTACATTATAATGCAGTCGTTTTGATTATTAGGAATAGATAAACAGCCATTCTTTTTTGACAGATGCTTGAAGTTCGACTGTTATATGAAATAAATGATGTGGAGACGCCAGAGGGTGAGCAGCCGCCACCTTTGTCCACCCCTGTGGGCAGCTCCAACCCTCAGCCCATCCCTCCTCAGTCTCATCCATCTACCAGTAGCAGCTCATCTGATGGGCTTCGTGATAATGTACCGTGTTTAAAGTAAGTTGCAGAACGTTAGGTCTGTTTTACATGTTGTCTCTTAATTTAGAAAAATAAGAATGAGTGTACCTAAGATATATTTGGCTGTGGTTAACTGAGCTTGTATTTTTGTGGAATAAGAAGAATGGTAATTTTATTGTGTTACACCTACTGTTGCCGAGGTTTAAAATAACGAGGTGCGTTGGCTATGGGTCACCCCGTATGTATCACTACACCCTCACATCTGGCCGTGTTTCATTCTGGAATTAGATTTAACTTGGCTTAGGTTCGTTATCTTCTCTGAACTATGAAATTCTGCTTCTTTTCATTTTTACTTTGGATTCAGTGTGCTCAGATTTCATTTTATCTTTTCCTGAATCTTAGCATCACTTTATCTTTACTTATAAGACTTTATTTAGTATCATTTTAAGATCATACTAGTTCACGCAGGGATAAATTGGATACATTTTTGTTTTTATTTTTCTGTTTAGTTTCTATTTTTTGTGTGATTAAATTCTTCAGCAGATGCAGAGAAATAAAGTGATGAGTGAAGAATTAAAATTGTTGGATTATATGAAGAGTGATGTGATTCAATGTATTACATAGAAAGTAACTAAATTCATTATGGGGACAAAAGCTCTTCTTGTAGTGGATTCAAGGTGGAAAGGGTGACAAGGCAGTGTTTTTACTAAGTGACGAACTAGGCTTTGTGCTGATTTTACTATACATCTGCTGGAAATCTTCTTCCAGTGAGTATGTGGTAGTTAGAATGTTGATGTAATAAAAAAAAAAGCCATTCCCCACACAAGACAAACAGACATTTTAAAAACAGAAAAAAATCACAATTGTGTTTTTAAGATTCATTTATTTTTAGTTTTAGTTTATGTGCATTGGTGTTTTGCCTGCATGTGTGTCTGTGTGAGTGTGCCAGATTCCCTGGATCCAGAGTTACAGACAGGTGTGAGCTGGCATGTAGGTGCTGGAAACTGAACCCAGGTCCTCTGGAAGAGCAGCCAGTGCTCTTAACTGCTGAGCCATCTCTCCAGCCCCCACTATTATGTTTAAAGTACATGATTTACAGAAGTTTTAAATGAGTGATTGTCGAGTAGGGATGAACTTACCTGTTTCAGGGTATGTGCTAGTGTCTAGAGACGCTGATAGTTTCCCATAGGGCCTAGGACTGCTCTTGATGAGGTTGGTGGCAGGGATTCTGAGATAAGGCTGGGATGGATGTACAGTAGACATGGCGAAAAATTGCATCCTGCAAAATGCAGTAGTCTCCAGGGCCTAGTTGGGCTTCTTCTCGTCCTTCCCACATTTACCTCTTTTTCTATGCCTCCTCCTCTTCCTCTGGTTCCTCCCACCTTCTCTTTATCTCTCACACTTAGAAACACACAGCTCCTTTATCTACAGTTCTAGTATACATTATATGGGTGAAACTTACAATATAGCGTTTTATATTTTTGGTTTGTTTATTACTCAATATTACTTCAACACAAAATTTAAAATGTTTCTGCAATGTTTTTATATTTATTTCATTCCTTTTAGTTTTTGTTAATTTTATAGATGGATAAAATATAATTATCTTTTATGGGTATTGGTAAAATAGTTCTGTGTTTCCTCAGTTTTATCAATTATATGAAATAATGTTTTAGCATATTTAGCACAATGTTATCACATAAAATGTGAGATAATTTTGTCATCTTCAACAAAATTAGAATACTTTAATTTGGGCTTTAGAATTACTTATGTCTCTTAATGTTCATAAGCATCATATCCAACAGTCTGGAACATGAACTCAGTTTCCTACCTGAGGAATAGACACTTCCAGCACATGTCTTTCCCATGCCAGGAAAAGCTAGGAAATAGTTATGACAAGAGACACAGGGGTCTCAATCCAGAGTTACAGGACCTCTGGTCTTGGCTTCCCAGATAAAAATGAAAGGTGTCCAATAAGTGAGTCTTTGTCTGCTGATTTGCTTAGGTAAGTGTTTTTCCAGTTTCTGTACTGACAGAAAGGACAAGGAGAAGAAGTATGTTAATAACCAGAAGCGATTAAAATCTCCAGCCAGTAAACTAAAACACAGAGCCGGGAACTCTAAATACTTTTCAGACATAGTTTCTGGAACTGCATTTTCAGTACTGTCACAGGCTTGAGGTCATAGATAGCCATCACTACTATCTGACATTTGTATCTTTGGCGGGATGTGCTGCAAGTATTTAGTAGAATGCCACTTAATATGGTAATATCTTTACAGTTGGGACTTCAAGGGACTCACTCCTATCTCTAGAAAGTCTCACCAGCCAACTTGTTACTGCTTAATATTCTTTGTTATTGGCATTAGCTGTTAACATTTGTGTGGGGATATACTTCCGCTATCCTGGACTTATCCCATAACTTGTATACATTTTTTTAAATCCTAGAAGAATTAATAGAACTAGTATTTGATAGTTATTTCCTTCACGTTTGAATGCCATTTTAGGTTTCTAGGACATACTGAGTTTGACATCTCACTGTGGTATTGTCTCCATTTTTGGAGTAGCTTGCTTTGAAGGCATTTCTCATACTGCCCCAATCAACCTTATGTGACCAACCTTGATTTCTGTCAAGATAATGTCATCATGCCCTCTTCTTATCTTCACATGGAATTCAGGAAACCCAGCTTATTTTCTTGAAAAATATGATTTCTAGATTTGTCCCGCAGTTACAAATAATTGCTATTTAATAGTTGCCAATCAGTGAAAATTGCTATAGAAAGTATTTTTCAAAAAAAGAAAATAGTGACTAAAACCCCTATAATTTTGAACTAAATGTTATATTACTCTGTGGTTAATTTTTAAATATATATTTTTATTTTTTGAAAATTTCATACATGCATTCAGTGTATGTAGATTATATTCATACTCTACCCCTCCTCTTAACTTCCCAGAACCCCCTACAAACTTCATGCCCTCTTCTTTTATTATTTTAAATGATCCACTGAGTCTGATGTGTGCTGCCCATATATCATCCAGTGCATGGCACACTGGATCATGGTCAGCCTATAAGGGGAAACACCTTTAAAGAGAACTGACTCTCTTTCCTCCAATAGCTCTCAATCGTCAACAGCTCCTCAGCTAGAAATATGTGCTGGAATATTGCCTCACTTTATCTTTGTTATTTATGTAGGCAGCCATAGCTGCTGTGAGTCTATGATTAATTTTTAACCTCTTCTGAAAACTACTCAAACTGTCCCAAACTTGAAATCATACTATATAGTTGCTTGGTGAATGGTAAAATTGAACTCTATATATGTCCTTTAGACTTGAGCAGTTGTCTTCATTCCTAGCTGTCTAGATTTGGAATGGCCCAGGAGATAGGCCTCTGAGCATGTCTCAAGGGCATTTCCAGAGCGGTCTACTGGTGGGGAAGACTCAGTGTGGACCTGCTGGTGCCATGTTATAGGCTACGGTTACAGGGTCAACAGAAAGGGGAGACTAGGAAGCTGCTAAGTACCACCACTCATCTCTCTTTACTTCCTTCAAACCCATTGTAACCATCTCCTGATGATCCCACAGCCATGTCATCCTGCCATAATGAGATATGACCCCTGGAACTGTGAACCAAAGCAAGCCCTTCATTCTTCCAGCAGAGTCACTGCCAGGATGTGGAGTTGCTGCCATAAGAAGGCGGGCTGTGTGGCTGTTGGGTCTTTTGAACTAGTTTGTTAGAGGAATGGTGGAGGGTTTCTAGGGCTGCAGAGGCCCTAGAAAACTATAAGCAGAGCTCAAGGGGCTGTTCTGACAGGAGTTTGGATTACAAGTATTCAGACAGAAATTCAGAAAGTAAAGACTTCATAAGCAAGGATAGTTAAGACTATACCAGGAGCTGGGCCAGAAGCCATTCATGTTATAGTCTGGCACAGATTCTATCTCCATTCTGACTTTGTGATGAAAAATTAAGGGAGGCTACATTTAAAATAAAAGGCTACATTGTTTGACATAAATAATTAAACTAACAAAAAGGCATGATGTCACGATTGTGGAATGACCTTTGTTCTTAGTCCATTCTAAGTTGCAGCAAAAGGCTAAGGATAATATGCAGTTTGGTAGGAAAGGAGTAAGAGAAAGTTTAAAGATGCAGATAGAAGAACAAAAAGTAGCTGTAATTGTTGAAGAGTAATTTCCAGTAAAGAGAATCTAGAGTTCTCTGCAGAAACAATTGGGAAGATTCACAGGGGGTAGGACCTACCCACATGGAAGACTCCAACTTATAAAAATGAATTCATTTGAAAGGAGGAGCCTGAGCTGAAAATGCCACTGACTGGGCTTCCTGTCAAACAACTGCCTAGGGAAGTGTTTTACTAGACTTTACACTCAGAAGGCATTCTGATAAAATACAAAAAGCATTCTGATACAAACAGGCTGACTATGTCTCAAAATACCAACAAAACTTAGCAACATCATTCATCTGGTGTTGATTTTGCAGGCTTGCAAAATCCAGAAGATAAAGAGTCATAGAAGCTTGCACCAAGACTCTATGAAGCCACTAACTCATGGCAGTGTGTGAGAGGGTAGGATTCCCTGTAAGTAACTGACAAGCTGTCAAAGGTGAATCTTAAGCCACAATAGAGATGCCAATATATTAGAGATGGCAGGACTGTGTGATACTACACCAACAAAGAAATCAGGCTTAGAGTGGAACTGGCCCAAGAAAGAAGTCGCATGTGTTACAGTTTGGCAGAACTGAAGAAGTAAGCTTCAGGATGCTGGGGTCCAGATGATACTACCACAAGCCCTACATACCAGACATGAATCGTCAGGCTTTGATAGTTCTTCAAGGATTTCATCTTGCTTTGACCTTTTCTTGTTGCCTTCTAGTCCTTGCTTTTAGAAGGGAATGTTTATAGTGTCCTTGTACACTGGGAGCATGTATCTTCTCTTTCCTTTGTTTACAGGAATTCACAAGCTTGGAAGTCTCATATATCAGAAGAGACTTTGGATTTTGAGCTTCAGAACAGTGTTAGACCTGTCAAAACTTGTGACAGGGAGGTGTATCTTTTACACATAAACTAAATTCACTTTGTGTTGCCAGGTAGTCATGGGTCTTTGAGGACCTGAGTGGATGTTATATTTCAGGAGTTCTCAACCTTCCTGAAGCTGGGACTCTTTAATACACTTCTCATGTTGTGGTGAACTCCAACCACAAAATTATTTTTGTTGCTATTTAATAACTGTAGTTTTGCTACTGTTATGAATCATAATGTAAATAAATATCTGGTATGTGACCCCTGTGAAAGAGTCATTCAACCTCCAATAGGATTGTGACCCACAGGTTGAGAACTGCTGTTACAGTTGAAAGTGATAGAAGACAGAGTTTATGTCCTACTTGGTCCCATAGTTCCTTAGTCCCAAGTAAACATACGGAGACTTAATTACAAACTGTTTGGCTAATGGATTAGACTTTTTATTGGCTAGTTCTCTCTTAACTATTAACCCATTTTTATTAAACTATGTATTGCCACAAGTGGCTTACCTGCCATGCTCCAACATGTTATTCCTTTGGCAGCTACATGGTATCTCCCTGGAAGCTCCTCTCTTCCTTCTTCCTCCCCCAATTCTCCTAGTCTGATAGCTCCACCTATACTTCCTGCCTGGCTACTAGCTAGTCAACATTTATTCATCAACCATTAAGACAAGCATACAGAAAGACACCCCCGTCACCTCTTCTTTTCTGTTTAAATAAAAAGGAAGGTTTTAATTTTAACAAGAAAAATTATATACCACAAAACATTTATCAAGCAATAACTACAGTTAATAATATTTAGTCCACTAATATTTGGCAAAACTTAAAGAAATTATTTTATCATCTATCCTCTCTTTGTGAGTCTAAAGTTGTATATGTAACTTATCTTTTATCATAACTAAGGAAAAACATAGCCATAGCTATCTGTCTTAAACTCCATCGAAGACCTCAGAGAGATAATATGTAAATTTTAGAATTGACAGAGACATCTAACTGTCTGGACAGTTACCCAAAGTTCCTCTGTAACCTTGGTGCATCATCTTTAGGCTATAGGCCCAGAGTGTCTGGCAGACTTTTGTGAAACAAGAACCTTGAAGGACCATCATGTCCCTTGGCAAGTTTAGCAGTCATTTTTCTTTGTTACCTGCTTGTCCAGTTTGCACAGTATTCTGCCAAGTAGCCTAGGCAAGAGCAGTTTTTTTGTTCAAATGGGTAGTCCTGCCATGTTGAAGGCAAACTCCATAACAAGTTTCTTTGATGCCCATCTTCCTCTCCGACAGAATTGGTGTTGCCAGGAGCATTTGTGTCTCATGGTCTTTGAAAGGCTTTAAAGAGTACCTATTGCTTCATTACATTTATTTATGTGTGTGTGTGCACACACGCACACACGCACGCATGCGCACACACACACACACACACAGTCGTGTATGTCGGCACCTGAACATGCTTCAGGAAACACAGAAGTCAACATGGTTGTAGGAGTCAGTCCTCTCCTTCCATATGTGGTTCATGGGCATCAAGGTCAAGTGTTTGGGTTTGAAAACGAGTGCCTTCTGTATCTTGCTGCGCCATCTTGTTAATTGGTCCCTTTCTATTGTTTCTTATATTTTTGGTTGTGAGCCTAGCCTTTTACGGCTGAGCTATCCCTCCAGCCCCCTTTCTATTGTTTCTTGACCAGGCTTCTGATTGTTCATTTGTGTTTTCATTCCTGGAGATGGGCCTGATTTTTCCACACAGGCAAGAACTCTGCTACCTAATATTCTCCCAGCTGGTCCAGGTTTCTGGTTTTTTTTTTAATACAAATTAGAGATTTTGCATCAAATTAACATTTTTGGTTTATTATTTTCTTAATTACTTTTTTCATTTCTTAGCAAAGTGAAGTTTTAAAAGGATTTGTTTTGTGTTTGACTTATTATGTATGCTTGTGTCTGTGTGTCTCTGTGTACACATGGGTATGGATGCCTGGAAGTCTAGAAAATGGCATTCCATCACCTGGAGTGGGAATTATAGTCAGTTGTAAGCTGCTGGGCATAGGTGCTGTGGACTGAACTGTGGTCCTTTATAAGAGCATCAAGTGCTCCTAACTGCTGATCACCTCTTCAGTCCCATGCCATGAGTTTTTTGTGTCCTCATCACGTCATAAGTGTAATCTGTATATGCTTTTAAAATTATTATGTAACATCTGCTCCTGTTCTCGAGAACCCAGTCCAGTATGCCTATTCTGTATGCCAGGCACAAGGAGTGCTTCCTGGAGGCTTACCTTCTTGACTATTTCAGACAAGAATAGCCAGCCCCAATTAGACTGTCAGCCTGTGTCAAGGCTGCCTCTGGGTAACAGGTCAGGTGCCCCAATTGTCATTTTAATTCCTTAGCATCAACAAGTCCAGTTGATGGTTCGTTCCCTGAAAAGTATCAGAGATTCTTTCCCAGCAGAGGATAGTTGAGAGCCAGAGGCGACTCCACTTCAGCTCCTTTTACTTGTATATGCAGTGACTCTCATTCTACTGGTCGTCTTGACAACTGACTCTTACCTCCTGTTTAGTCAGCACATTGCTAAGAGTGTCTAAGTCCTTTTCACTACAGAAGTACCAGCAAAATTATTCGAAAAGGACTCCTGTCTCTTAGTGTAGTTTCAGGCTGTCCAACAGTAAGTTGTCGTCCTGTTGTCCTTTATGCTCTGTGACTCCAAGACAGAAGCCAAAGAATTGTTGGAAGACCAGACTTGGCAAGCATTTGTGTACTCTAAGATACCCTCAGTGTAACATGCATATAAGTTGCTGATTGTTTAAATATATTTATTTCACACGAAGTCTGGTGATACATGCATGCTAAGTGTAATGTCTAAGTATTCCTCAGGAAGTCTCATATTTCTATAAATTCCTTCCTCGCTGCCCTACTTTTCTAATATTGTAGACTTAGCCAATACAAGTTTAGCACACATTTATTCATTATTTGTGAGGTTTGGGTATTTAACACCTGTCTTCCCAGTAGTTCTAAATACATAGATCCGTACCATCACCTCAAATTTGCCAGATATTCATCTGAAACTATCTCTTCATTACTGAGATGCCTAATGTATTTATTTAGTGACTTTGACCTGAGAGTATCTGTGACTTCTCTCTTTTTTTTCTTAAATTTAAAAATATTGATTATTTTTAATTAAAAAAAAATACTTTTTACATTCCAACCCCAGTTCCCTTTTCTCCCACTCCTTCCCCATCTGCTCCTGGATGTCTCCTCTCTTTGTGTAACTCTGTCCATCCTCTAGTTTATTCACTTATTCGGTGAATCTTGGATACCTCCTTTGTTGCATAATATTAAAATTAGCCCAAGACTCCTGCCTTCCTCAGCTGGTGAGGTGGACCAACAGGAAATGTAGTTACCATCTTGTCTGATGACCTGGGTTTGTTCCCTAGAACCTGTATGATGGAGAGAAAGGACTGACTCCTGCAAATTGTCCTCTTTGTGTGTGTGTGTGTGTGTGTCACACAAATAAATGTATTTGCTAATTTTTATTAGTTATTTTTGATTTATATCTTCCTGAAACTTGTAAGTCATATCAAGTCATGTTAGAGTAATCAAAACAACTTCCTGATTGGTTCACTTCGTCTGCTGGATCTGTCATATGTACGAAAATGCACCTCAAAATGTAGAAAATCACGTTGCTTTCTTTTATGTGGTTAAAAAGTCACCCACTAAACATCTATTGTTTGTATTTTCTTTGACTTGTGTACTATATTTATTTTGGGGGGTGGTAATTTAAGATTTTGTTTTTTCATTGATTTATTTCTAATTTTTTCTTCTTTCTTGTTGCTGCTTTTGCTCATCCTTTAGCCTACCTTTCCCTGTTCTTTGTTCTTCTTTTCCTCGTTCCTTCCTCAGTTATTTCTTCTTATCCCTCATCCTTATCTGTCTCCCCACATTATATCCATAATTTGCCAGTGTTTCCCTACCTCTATCACTCTGAGATATGTTCCTCTCTACAACTGAATTAAACACTTCTAGAATACAACACGATGGTCTGACTTCTACATTTTAGAAAATCTAGAGTGGTTTCCTGTAAAATTATTCTTGCATTGCTATGTATGATTTCATGTGTGAAGAACAGTTAATTGGAACTGTGTTAAAAAGCTAACATGTCTTCCTTCATTCTTTTTTTTTCAGAGTCAAAAGCTCACCACTTAAACAGTCTCCAGGTTACCAGACAGAGCTGGTTATTCAGTTGGTGTGGGTGGGTGGAGAACCTCCCCAGCAGATCACCAGTCTGGCACTCAACTCTTCCTATGGACTGTAAGTATGAGGGTTGTTGTCGTTGTTTTGTTTACTGTTTTTTTTTGTTTTTTTTCCTCAGTCTCTTCATAGTAGTCTGTATATAATTTTGCATTTAAGTATAAAAGTATAAAAATACTTAGGCTTTATTGTATCACCACCTAAAATGCTGCTGTGCAACTATAATTTCAATATTGTTTGCTTTACTTACGATATGGTTTTGATTTGAATAGTTCTTGTATATATGCACTGTGACTACTGGTGTGAAGAACTGGCCAGTGCTCATTGGAGATAGTCAGTATATCCTCTCCATGTGTTCCTCCAGAAACAATGTTCTCATATTTCTCTTAAGAAACTCTAACATAACATTTTATAAATGCATTCTGTAGTTCTGAACTGTAACTGTGTCTTTTTTTTCTGTTTTAAAAGTCAGCTTGTACAAATTTCTAAGGGTATAACCTTCAGTATATAGATAAAGCAGTTGTTATATTTTATTTATTTGTAGAACCTCAGGGTCACAGTAAGAAACTGCTATGTACTGTCTACTATAGAAGTGTCCACGCACAGCCCCTGTACCTTCTATTACAGAAGTGTCTATGCACAGCCCCTGCACTGTTGGTTACAAAAGTGTCTATGCACAGTCCCTATACTATTACAGAAGTGTTTATGCACAGCCCTGTCTTGTCCCCGGTAGTAGCTATAGGGAGTCACCTATCCTTTTGTTCCTGCTAACTCACTATCAGTCCTCTGTCTCTGGGATTTGTACATCTAACTTAAACTGGTTGTAAGCTGATAGGCCTCTCTGATATCTTTTATTGTCTGCCTTATAATAGAAGAGCACAAACCTCCACCTTCTAAGTACTTTATCGAGCATAACTATAAAAAAAGCGAACCACCGATTTAAAAACAAAAATCAACAGGAAGTTTCAAAAGTAATTAAAAGTTAACTAGTTATAGGATTTAACGTGTTCATGGGGTTGTTTGTTGGCGGGAATTTTTGTACTTTTTCTATTTTTAAATGTAAATTAGTTGCCCAGACTACATAATGAATAGATTCATAGATAAAGCTTTCTTTAAATCTAACTTTCTGGCCCCGTTGTGCATTCATACACAGCGTGATCGTCTGAACCCAAGGGGAAGGTTTCCTGTTTGAGTTCATTATCTGCTTTCCCAGTTTTGTCCCTCCGCGTTAACTGTGAATATAGCTCTTCTGCACAGGCCAGCTACCATGTGCCTTCAGAACTCTTAGAGTAAGAACGCTTTGTGCACAAGAGATGAGGTTGTGGCCCCTGAACTGTAATGAGGAAAGACTTTGAACACCTCAAAGGGAGTCCCCCCAGATTTGAATTCCTTTTTATTCTTGACAGAGGAATTCCAGAACTTACTCCCACGTATAATTCCATTTTCCTAAGAGAAGAAAAAAATAGACGTTACATTGCTTAGTGTGTGTGGGGCTGTGGGTAGTGTGTTTGAAGGGGTATTTATGATCAAGCTTCAACTTGTGTCACATATTCTCATAAATGGTGCTAATGCTTGATGTAATGATATAGATAATGTCTACAGAGATGTGAATAGTTCTTTGAGAAGGCTATATACTCTGTACTCCCATGCCTATACTTGTCTTTAATTTCAGGCAGCTGAGGTGAACCCCCAGATCCTATAACCCCCTTGTGAGCTCACACTCACACACAAATAGTAAATAAGATAAATAGAAAGAGAATTTTCTGAAATGTCCACCATCATAATTTCTTCAGCTTTGTAGTTTACATTTCTTTCAATAACTGTTTGTACTGAGATACTTGTGCCTCCTGCTGCCAGGGTGGTTTTTGGCAACTGTAATGGCATTGCAATGGTTGACTACCTCCAGAAGGCAGTACTGCTCAACCTGGGCACCATCGAACTGTACGGCTCGAATGATCCTTACCGGAGAGAACCCCGGTCGCCTCGGAAGTCACGACAACCTTCAGGAGGTAAAAAGAAAAGAAAACGTCCTGAACTTTAAATGCTGCAGACGCTCACATACATGTGTCCCTTGTACATGCATGTGTCCTTGTGTCTGTACGTGCTTCACTTAAGCAGACAGCTTGTCTGATTTAAACTGGAAATGTAAACAACCAAGAGTCTTGCTTTGGTTTTCTGCTGCCTTTACATTTTCTTTTGTTCCTAACAATCTACAGTTGTATTTAATGTCACAAGAGAACCAGTGTCATACTTCAGCTAAGACACAATACTAGGAATATATGTCTAGTTATTATCGAATAGAACTATATCTCACAATTTTGTCATTTGGTCCCTCACAGCCAGTAATTGAGTTTGAACCATTTAAATCAAAGTAATTGTTCCTGTGTGAAAGCAGGCACAGAGGTGATTTACATCCCTGATATAAATGATGAACATGTGTTGATAGTCTTGATTCAGCACAAACTCAGGGTCACTAAAAATGAAAAAAAAAATCTGTAGCATTCTTTGATATTTGCCAAGTATCTAATATTGATTAATACTAAGTGTTTTAATGTGGGTACCTCTTAGAACATAGAACACACATATTTCTAGCTAGATATCTTGCCTGAATTTTACTGTATGATATACCGCAAACAATTTGTATGTATGGGGTGTGTTAATGAGAGAGACCTCTAGCAATAATTGACAGTGGGCTTAGTTTTCCTGTGTGCCCTTCCAGATAGACCAAGAATTCAGGGGAACCCTATGTGAGGCTTGTTTCACCCACCTGCAGAATCCTGGTGAGCATTGGAGCACTGTTAGGGAACTGGTCTAAATATTTTCCCCACTACCGTGGAATGAATATTCTCTTTGATTCAGAGTGGTCGGAACCATGATGTCTAACACCACAAAAATATAGTACATATGGACATACATACATGCATACATTCATATCCCCATGCACACACAGAGAACATTTTAAAATTCTGGCTTAAGTTGCTCTCAGTACATTATTGACTAATGATAGCCATGAAGCATGTAACATGTGAGAAAACTAAACAAAAAATACAGGTAATGTTAGACCTTCCTATCATTTTGTTTGATGTTTGGCATTTTCTTTTCAGAGTTCGTTTTGTGTTGTCTGTGCGTCTGCTCACTTTGTCATGTTATCTTCAGCAGAAATTCTGTTTCAACCATGCCATTCTAGTTCCTGTCTCCTTTCTTTTTCCCTCTGTCCTCATTGCTCACTAAGGTTTGCTGGTTGTGACTTCTTGCATGTGCGGCCTTTCTAGCTTGTACTCTGAATCAGTGAAAAAACTCCGTTCTTCCTTTCTAAGTAAGTCATTCACGCCTTGACATTTCTGTTCTTTGTAAGATCATTGTTTTGTTTTTCATTTTACTTACCAACTCAAATATTTACATCAGAAAGACTAAACTCATTATTCAGACTTACCTCATAACAGCCATTCAAACAATATGCCCTAGCCCAATTTCTTTATAAAACAAAGAAAAAAACTATTTATGAAAGAATATTAAAATATTTTCATGATTTTACAAACTTATAAAAATGTTAGTAGTCTTAAAATGAATTTCTTTTCCCCTTTATACTCTAGAAGGTTTACATTAAATTGCTACTTAATTAAATGTCCAAACTTAGGATGAGACAAGTTATTATACAATTATTTTTTTCTTAAATTTTACTTCATCCTATTTTATTACATAGTAAATCTCATAATATCATTTATATTATTATTATTTGCTCCATTTTATATTGAAGAATTAGATTCAGACATCTGAGAACTGTTTCAATTTTTATTAGGTTAAAATGTTGGTAATTTTGCCTCACTTTATCATTATTTAAGGTTTCTTAAATAAAAATGTAAAAAATGTAGGTCTGGAGGTGTACATCTGTGGTAGAAGAGGCTGCTTCATGAAAGGAGGGAGGGGAAGAGGGGTTAATTGTTTTTAAATGATTCCAGTAATATCTTGAGAATATTTGTACCTCCGATTCCAAAAATGACTTACTTAATTTTCATATAAAATTAACTGGATAATAATTGGCATTAAAATTCTTCAATTGTATTGATATAAAAAATGATATTCTTAGCCAGGTGTTGGGGTGCATGCATACCCTAGGATGTGAGAAGCTAAGACAGGAGATCTCCTCAAGCTCAAGGCTAGCCCGCAGACTCCCTATATAAAATTAAAAGCAGACTGGTGAGCTCAAGGGTACATTCTCCTCCCCTCCCAGCACTGCTTACAGATGTGTCTTGCCTGCTTCCTTCTCCTCCTCCTCCTTCTCCTCCTCCTCCTCCTCCTCCTCCTCCACCTCCTCCTCTTTGTCTTCCTCCTTCATCTCCTTCCTCCTCCTCCTCCTCCTCCTCTTTGTCCTCCTCCTTCGTCTCCTTCCTCCTCCTCCTCTTCCTCCTCTTTGTCTTCCTCCTTCATCACCTTCCTCCTCCTCCTCCTCCTCTTTGTCCTCCTCCTTCGTCTCCTTCCTCCTCCTCCTCCTCTTTGTCCTCCTCCTTTGTCTCCTTCCTCCTCCTCCTCCTCCTCTTTGTCCTCCTCCTTCGTCTCCTTCCTCCTCCTCCCCCCACACTCCTCCTTCTGTAGTATGCTCTTGATCTGTAGCAAAGGGGCCATCACACTGATCTTCAGCCTCTCAGTAGGTCAGTTTAAATGGGAATTGTATTTATTACCCACAGATAGAGCCTGTTTAATTAGACTCTAGGGTCACTTATGAATCCCTTTTATAAGATAAAACGTTATCATTTGAAGCATGAAAGTGTTAACTCTGTTACTACATTACATCTGAATTATTGCTTGAAATATGGATTGAGGCTTCCTAAGGAAAAGTGTATAACTGTCACAGGGATGTTAGTGCCTAGAGGATACCTGAACCCATTTCAGACCCTCTGTGTATTATGGTCTTTTGGCCACATACATTCCTGTGACAATGTCTAATTAGAATGAGGCACAGTAAGATTGTCACCAGTAACTAATACTAGAATGAACAATTAGTATTTATATATTAAAGCTCTATGTGTGTGGTCTCTCTCCTTCCACATGTCTTACTGCTGTGCATTGTCCCCCACCCTGTGTGATATGGCATGTTCTCAGAGCAGTTATGGCTCTTGTAGGCACATCAGAATCTGCACTCTTGTGAGGGACTTGGCCCTAAGTGCTACAACACTTAACTGTTAGTCAGTAAGCAGGACTTGTCCTCCGTGACTAATAGACAAGTGGGTATATATTAGGATACAGTAATGGTGCCTCTATGCACTACCCAGAGAGGTCCCTAGCTTAAAATGTAAGAATTATGTCTAGAATTTACCAGTTAATATTTCAGACTGGGTTAACAGTGAATAATTGATAGCATAGAAAATGAAACTGTAAGAGAGGTGTTGTGTGTGTTAATCACAGGATTTGAGGATTGCAAAAGGAGGGCATAGCAGGCATAACATTTTCTGCCAAGCCTGATGGCCTGGGTTCAGTTCCCTGAACCTGAATGTGGAACAGTTGACCCGGTTCCCACAAGTTGTTCACTAACCTTTATATGGGCACTGTAGCATCCGCCTCCTCACACTCATACATGCATGCATGCACACTGAATAGAGAGATGAATCTAAAAGTATCTTAAAGAATGTGTAAAAATGCACTTACACCAGTAAGGACTATACATAGCAATTGTAAGATTGGCATTTCATGAATTAATAGGAAGCAGATACACACGCACACACACGCACAGACACACACACACACACACACACACACACACAGAGTTTTTGTCCTGCTACTTTTAGTTCAGGTTCCTTGCATGAAAATGGACAGGGAAGCTTATTTACCTGAACAAAGTTAGTTTACCAGTTGCTAAACCATTGAGGAATATGGCCCCTCTCTCAGAGCTGTCTGTAACTGAAAAGAGTAATAGAGGCTCCTGCGTCCCCTTCCACACTTGGGATGGAATAGTGATTGGCCCAGTCATGTGAAGTCTTGCATAAGAAACAACTACTGCCATATGTTCACGGGTGCAACAGCAGTTTCATGTTCAGAGGACAGCAGTTCACAGCACTCATTTCCAACCTTCAACTCTGTATCCTTTCCACCCGCTGTTCTGCAGTGTTCCTTCCCTAAGCCTCGGAGCAGTTGGTACAGATGTCCTGTTTAGCGCTGAGCACCCAAGTCACATATTCTCAACATTTGATCAATTACGAGTCTCTCCCTCTTACCCACTGCAAAATAAGTTTCTCTAGTGAGGAAGAGAGCATTGATCTATGAGTACAAACTTCACTGTGTAGAAGGCAGTCTGACACTGTCAGTTTGGCAGAACAACAGTAGGAGGTTACACATACAGACAGACACTCACACTCACATACACACAGCCACACACACATGAACCATCACTTCACCTGGCATGTGTCAAGCATGAGTTTTCTCCTGTGTGGTTGGCTCAAGTCCAATCAGAAAGTGCTCGGGACAGATCACTCCATAGCAGTCTTGCCGGTGTGTCTCATCGTGCCTGGCAAGTAAGTACTGTTACAACGGTGACATTCCTATCATTGCCGTTATTAGTAGTGGCTTATGGTATAATAGGTTTCCATGCAGTAAGTACTGTTACAGCGGTGACATTCCTATCATTGCCATTATTAGTAGTGGCTTATGGTATAATAGGTTTCCATGCAGTAAGTACTGTTACAACGGTGACATTCTTATCATTGCCGTTATTAGTAGTGGCTTATGGTATAATAGGTTTCCATGCAGCTTTTTCAGACATCCTTCATTTTAGTTAACTCTTTCCCTTTACTTCCTCATAAAAATACTTTGCATTGCTTTTTATTATAATTTTGGTCAACTTATAGTATGGTTCATATATCATTTGTATCTATCTTGAGATAAATCTTCGTTAAGAAGTTTTTAAATGTGCTATTATAGCTTTTAGGAGGCATACTGTGTAGGATACCTATATGGGCAATATTTAAAATACTACATATTTAAAAGATAAAGATATTTTCAAAAATATTTAAGTGATGTGTTCAAGACATACTTAAGGAAATTCACTTGGAAATTTGAGTTGAGGACTCTTGTGATATGAAAATTACCAAACTAAGTGTTTCTTTTCCCTTGGGAAAGCCAAAGGGACATGTCATGTGTCTGCACATCTCTGGTGTTGTACAAGTCTTGGGCCATGTCTGATATCCTTCAAGAATAACAAATCACTTCATTTAGAAATTCTGTTTCTAAATTTTCTTGTTCCGTGGACTATAGCCATATTAGTTGGAGATATTTTACCAGAATGCTCCATCTCTGGGCCTCATCATTGCCATGTCCATTAATCTGTCTTTTACTGGCTAGTAGTGAAATAGACCCTATGGGAAGGAGGTAAGCTTGCATAAGGGATGTGGTCTCATGTGTTCTTATTTGCCTTTCAGCAGGCCTGTGCGACATTAGTGAAGGGACTGTCATCACAGAGGATCGCTGCAAATCTCCGACTTCCGGTAATCTGGTTTTTATTTTGTTAATAATTATGATTAAAAAATAACTAAGATGGCTTACCGGTAGATCATTTTATAGACACGTATAACTACATATGAGAAACATATTATCTGCCTTTCGTAAAGTCATACCTGTTTTAATACAGGAAAAGAAAGGAGGCACATGCTGCTAAAACTCGCTAGCTTGTGTCTATTCAGGCTTGTCTGATTGCCCAGTTAGCTTTCTTACAATTAGCAGTGCTAAATGTATTTCCTGTTTACCATTGAATTGATGCTCTAGTTATCTTAGAATTATGCTTCTAGATACTCCTGGCAATGTTTAGTACAATGGGGTAAAGATCCAAGAACAGTTGGTATTTTCTTTTAGTTGAAAATTTATACTTTTAGATACTCCTGGAAAATGTTTAGTAGAATGGAGTAGGATCGATAAAAAGTTGATGTTTTTTTACTTGAAAATACAACTTGTTGGTGATCATAAAATCATACCCATTCCATTGCTATGACAGTTTTTTCCCTTTTTTGATGAATGATAGGGATTAAACCCAAAACCTTGTACATTCTAAGCAAGCCCTTTGCCACCAAGTGATGCCTCCAGACCCAAAAGTTATTAAAGATTTTGATACAGTCTGAAGATGCGGACTCTTGAGGAAACTTCTAGCCTGTTTACATTTGTTTTTCATTTTGATCAGGGTCATTTCTAGTGTGTTTATGGACTTGTCAGAGCAGCTCCTTTTTATTTGTAGGGTCTTTATATGGCCCATGTGTCTATTAATATAATACAGCAACATCATTTTTAGTACATTGAGCATCCTTAGAAATGAAAACTTGAGTTTGTTATTATACGAGATTGTAGCTTTGCTAGTAAATTTAACTTCATTATTTTAATTAAATGTGTTATTTTTTCTACCAGGAATCTTCTTTAGCTTTTCTCCTAGGAAGACTTTTCTTAGCATAAGTAACGCCATGTTTAGGTTTCTGTCTTTCACTAGCCATTCTACTACGTTGGAAAGAATTGTAAAATGGGATGTACTGTGAGGAGTATTTTTTTATTACTGCCATGTTTCTGTTTCTACTTTATTAGCCCTAAGTTGATTTTTAAAAAAGCTTTTGTTTTTTCTTTTTCTAATTTGTTTCTGATTTTGCACAAATTGATTTTATTTTTCAAAATGAAGAGTGGACTAGGGAGAGGAACCACGGGTAAAGTACCCTTGTCAGGCCCCTTCTGGTCACTGAACTTTTGCAACTTAAGTATATTTTTCTGTTAGTTACTTCTATTCATTGTTGTCATGGCCTGATTATCTTACTCTTAATACTTGTAATTGCTGAGTTCAAGGCCAGGCTGGACCGACAGCCTCCAAAACAATACAGAGAAACCCTGTCTCGTAAAAACCAAAAAAAAAAAAGAAAAAAAAAAGTAATTGCTTTGCCATCATCCATTTTTACCTCCCAATTGAGATTAAAGGAAAGATTTACTATCATTAAGTTTTCTTACTAGCAAATTAAAAACCATTGAAAAAATGGATTAAGTTAATTTGAGGTGTGTTTTTGGTATTTTGAGACAGACTTGACTAGCCTGGAACTCACTATGTAAACCAGGTTGGACCCTGACTCCTATGTGCTGGAATTAAAAGTGACCACACCCAGCTTTTTTTGTTTTTAATTGTTTTCAATAGCATGAATATAACAAAAATACTTGACTGAATTACTCACAATGAAATAGGATATAAATCAATAAAATAGTTAAATAGCACATAATAACTTATTAAAAACAATAATTAATATTTTAAAAGTTAGTATTTGTAGAAGAGGAAAATGTATACAAAAGTGAATTGGAGCTTAGAATGTCTGCCTCAGGAGCACTAAGAAGAGATCGATATTTTTTTTAAAGCATAAGTGCCTGTGTGCCTTCTGTCAAAATTGGTGCATTAACCAAAACATACATATAATGAAGAAAACTGAGTATTTTTTAAATTCTGTAGTCCAAATAGTCAGCTGTCCAATTATTAGAAAAACCCTTTTCAGAGAACATGTTTCAAAGCATGTTCCATTCATTTTAAAATAAGCCCGTGGTCTGTGTGATGCTGACGTCAGTGCATCATGAACAAGTGGAAGTGGTGGCCACCTGGACGGCCACTTCAGGGGACTCCTGTTGCTTCACCTAGCACCCTAGGAATGATGCAACCTTATGTGATGCACCTGTTTGGAAATCTGATAGGCTGTTTCAAACTGAAGAGTCACACGTAGCCTGATATAAATGGTGACTTTCAATGTTTATATGTGGCCTGGAGAAAATAAGAAGTTGAAGATGTTTGTTTAATCCCAGCAATCTGGTAGATTTATCCAAATAAGCTTTGTAATTTGTCTTGTGTTGTCATAGAAATTACAACAACCAATAGTAAGACTTTCAACTCTACTGCCTGTTTATGTTTAGAAAACACCAAACATTGTTCTAATGTTAATGTAAGGAAATGGTAGCCTGCTATTACTCTGATAAGTGATAAATAAAATAAAGCTATTGTTAATATACATTTACCATAAATTTATGCAGCCGTTTGATATGAGAGATGACAGTATTTTAAAATGTGAAGATCCTATGGCCATTATACTCTTTCAGTGTGTTGTATTTGTATAAAAAGCATCTATTCCTGTTTCTGCTCTCAACTATTAGTGTGGTCATTGATGGCTTTTTGATAGTTCTAGACAAGATTTGGGAGAATCCGTGGATGCTACTAACAAGAACAACATGGATTATTCAGAGAGTAGTGTTTGCAAACCTCTGTAGGTGTGATTGGATTCTGCCCCTGTTGGCAGGCTTTGCTTGTTGAGAATGTCTCCCTGGCCATAGTAAACAAAGATGACTTTTGGAGAAGTCAAGATCAAGGGTTTGAGTTTCTACCTAATTGGCTAAGCTTTATTATTTTTTACAGGGATTCTTTTAAGCATGAAAAGGAAATCTTTTAATTTACTCTCAGTCCTTTTCATGTATTGTCTTCTAACAGAAGACTACATTCATTTAGATTAATATGAACTAGTGACATCTACATGAAATACACACCATCGATCACAAGTAGGATGTAAAATCGATTAGAATTTGTCTCAGTGAGGGAAGGTCATCTGTGTCTAAATTTAAAATACTGCATAATTAAATGGTAAATATTGTGTCACAAGTATGAGGACTTCAAGCTGGGAGTAGTAATCTCTAGTTGGGAAGGTGGTGAATAATTTGATCTATGAGATTTGTTGAGATGTACTTAATAGGTATCTAAATGTTATATTTCCTTTCTGTGTTCTTTGACTTATAAATAATATAAAACACAACAAGATTTTGCCCAATTATCATGTATTACAAAACTGTTAGAAATAAATTTCTATATAGTAGGGTCTGCTATACAAGACCGTATAGTAGTGAATTCAGTACTGGCATATTCTAGAATTGAAGTCCCAAGTGTTGGTGGTCACCAGGGGGTTAGTCTGTGATTGTTTGCTGCGCTGTGTTTGTGACTGACGGTATGCCTGTTCCTTCCATTGTCTTCATTTGTGTAGGTTCTTCATCACCACACAATTCAGATGATGAACAAAAAGTGAATAATTTTATAGAAAAGGGTATAGTATCTTTATTTTAAATAAAATCTTATTTTGTTTATACTTAATTTATTTAGTTTACACTGCTTAGATTTTGACATTTTATATTAAAATATTATTTTCAGTGAAGACCAAAAGCAGAAAGTTTTCCAAGATGGTAGCCAGTGATCTAGGTAGGAAATAGAAGTTTTTATTTTGTTTCTAATTGTTGCTCTATGCAGTGCTAACCCACAACCAGAAAATGATTGAGTGCATTGCATCTTGTGTATGTTAATTTGTTACTCTTTTGCTAAATAATAATCTTTGGGCTATGTCTATTCTACATGCATTTGGGAAATAATTCTTAAAATCAGTTAAATTGGGGTTATGGCTCTTTCTCTGAACTTACAGTGTGAATTATCCTATTAACTTTTACATTTGCTTTGTTTTAAAATAAAGCAGGGTTCAATTTATGCCTAAATACCAAGCTTATACTCTCATGTTAATCTGTGAGTCAGTTTTTCCTATGTAGTTATACTTGTATTTTTTTTTCTGCCTTTGCTCCCATCTCTCTCATATTTTTAAGGTTCCATATCAAGGAAATGATCTTCTAAAAGATGGCATTTTTCAGTCTGTAATCAATACCAGTATCAGGGTATTTGACAATTTCCTCCTAAACACCACCCCTAAGCACAAATGAAAATATTTATATTACTCATGATATTTTATGCATCTTTTGTAATGAATGACTCATTCTAAGATTCTTGAAGTTTAAAATCTAAAAGAAATATATAACCAGACTTGGAAACATAATCAAATTGGAGGTTTTTTTGGCCATAAAAATTTGAAGATGCTCCAAAACTTTGAAAGTCTTAACAAAGTAATATTCTAGAATAAGGCCTATTTCACCTTTGACTTAACCACGAACCATTTATTATACAATTAACATTTTTAAGTTTCCCTACATTTTTACCACATATTCTTTGTTTTCCTTTTTATATTTGGGGGTGGATGGGTATACGTGTACGTGCATGACCATATTACGGGAAAGCACTGTGTGTACAAGTGCGTGGGTGTGCACATACTTGCACACACAGGACAACATTGTGTGTCACTCCTTAGGTGCCATCTTCCTTTTTTGTTGTTTCTTTTGCTTGACTTTGCTTTGCCTGAGAGTGTCTTTCTCTGGCCTGGAGCTCACCAAATCCCTGAGTAGACTGACTGTCCATAAGCCCCGGGATCCCTTTCTCAGCTCGGGAACTGGAAGTGTACACCATCGTTCCCAGCTTTTTTATGTGGGTTCTGGGAATCGAACTCAGGTCCTGGCACTTGCACGGTAAGCACTTCTACCAGCTGAGCAATGTCACCATCCCTATCACACTCCTTTAATCTAGCTAACATAGGTGAGTTTCTCCACAGCTGGAAGAGTTTTACTATTCCTCACTTCATAACTTTTAACATATGGTTAATTTTTCAAAAATTCCCACAGAAAAATCCTTGTTTTCTTAGCATTGTAAATTGAACCCTGCTCAGTTATATTAATGGTGGATGACTCTTAGCCCTCTGGTCAATCTTAAATAAGGTGGTTTATTCTCGGGCAAAGGGCTTTTCATCAATTATTTACTCTTCATTGTGGTTTCATAGTAAATCTGTTGGCAATAATAATTAAATCACTTTAATTATGTACTAACTTTGCAACTAATTTCCTTTATAGCATATTGTATCCTGTTACATTTGGGTTCTGTTACCATTGTAGACAGAAGTTTTGTTCTACAGTAATTTTACTAAGTTATTTGCTAAGTTAAATTCCCTGACCTGAACAAATTTGCGGATAGTTAAATTTGTTAATGCCGCTTCTGTCTGACATCTTGTTCTGTAGCAATATAGCCTTATTAATGTGTACCTTCTGCCTTCCTTCTATTCCAAGTAGATATGTAACTTGAAATATTTGTGTTCAATTATTTGAAAGACTTAATGAACAAATTTGCTAGGCTACACAACATGTTTAGAAGGATATGTCTTGGAGAGTGTTCATTTCTTCTATATTCTTTTTCTTTTGTCATGCCAACTTTGGTAGGACTTTTCTAAGTTATCCTGGAGATGATTCTTTCTAATTATTTTTAACCAGGAACATTTTCCTCCCTGCAATATCTTTATTGTGTATTGAAAGATTTTTGCTGTGTGTCTTTCTTGATATAGCAATTTTGGCATATAGAAATAAAGCTAACATCTCAAGGTTTTTCTCCTTCAAATGAAGTTAGCCCCGCATTCCATTGTGGAGGTTTTGTGGTTGAAATGTTCTACATTAGATATGTAATCTCTGTATGTACCTCTCTACATTAGTATCTATTTTATAATAGTAATTAGCACAAAATGTGCTGTTGAGAAACATGAAATGTCAACGAACTGTCCAAGATTAGTGTTTGTTGTGGGGTCTGGAGAGAGGGCTCAGCAGCAGTTAAGAGCACTTATGCTCTTGTAGAGGACGCAAGTTCAGTTCCCAGCACCCATATCTGACTCCCCTTTCTCACCCCCCAAGACACTAGGTACATGCAAGCACAGCACTCTTACATGTAGAAATTAAAGTATGTTTTTCATTTTTAAATTAAAATTCACTAGAACTCCTTCAGTGTTTCAAGCATGTCTTTAGGAGAACTAAGAATTAGACTCACAGCTTGACAATGATGAGAGAACTGTCTTGGATCCCTGACTAAATTGAGTTGTTCTTAAGTTTCCTATGTTGAAGAGTAATTGTTGCTGGTGCCAGAGGTAGTCTGTGGGTTGTTTAAGGGGGAACAGGATGCCATTCATACTTTAGCATTATTTTTAAGTGTGAGTTACCTGTTAGGTCCACAGCCAAATGATAAATCAGAACTTGTAGGGGTCCAATTCCACTGTCAGCACTATACACACATATATAACATATAATATAAACATATTATGCAATTCATAAATGGATAATCTGGCTATGGACCTATTCTGCTACACTGTAGTCTTAGGAGAAATGGCTCATAGTTAAAGTCTGTGTGTGATTTTCTTACAAAGTTTTTTATAATGAAGTTTATAAAAAGTTTAAAATACATTTATTGAAGAATAAAAGCAAATTCTGTCTGAATACCAAATCTTGCCCACAACTTTAGTACTCATTGCCTAAGCATAATATATCTTGCCTGGAAGTCTGTCTCAAAAACAAGACTAAGAAGGTGAACAAGAGCACACTGGAATATACTGGCCCCTGAACCCAAACCCCAGCTTCATCTCTTGGCTCCTTATTGGCAGCTACTCCAGTAAATGACTCTGACAATGCCTTCTTTACTCTTGTGTAAGAAGAGCAGCCTCTAAAGAAATTAAAGCAGAACACAATGCAGGTAGTACACATGTAGTGTGCTTGCCTCTTCATGCTGTAGGATTAATTTTGTTAGTAAAATCTTAAAAGACCAGTATTTTCCAATCAGTAACTTTTCGTTGACTGTTAACAGTTTCCTCAAGTCACTTAGAAAGTATGTCACTATTTTTATTTACTCTTCATTTACATTTTATAAAGATTTAGAAGTGAGATTCTACAAATAAAAAAATGACAGTTTGGTTATATACATAACTGTATATAATGTTTCCAAGATACCCTTGTGTATAAAATACAACCCCCATGCTAGCACTACTTGATAAGAATATCAAAATTAACTTTCCTGAAGATTCCTATTTGGTGAATATTCTGTTTCATGCCCTGCTAAAAGTAGATTTCTGGTTGGATCCCACCTTCTGGTCTGGTCTCAGGTGCATTTTAATTTCTGTGTGTCAAGAAAGATTACCTAATTGGCTGAATGTGTGAAGCTTGAGACGTGGCTAGGGGATAATGTTATACATTAAAGAATAAAGATTCAAAATTAAGGCAACCAGTAAGTACCCTGGTAAAAACTAATAGAAATGCAACTCTATTTTTAATGGGCTCCTCTCTGTAGATAGTTTTTATTCTATGGCATTTGTTAAAATGTGGAAGATTATGGCTGAGGGACCCCTCATCTCTCCAATCCTAAGAAAATGGATATTCAGTCAACTGATTTCTCAGGAAAACCGGAAGTGAGTGCTGTGTATTGGTTGTGTGCGGTTTTCATTAGTTCACTTCACACAAGTCCTGATGATTCTAACACAGCTTAAAATATAATCTTTATGCTTTTATTCTAAAGTCTTAATTTATTAATCCTGTAGCTTCAATATCTGTTCTCATCCTTGTATTTTTCAAGAAAGAGATGCTCAGAGATGATAAATGCTGTGTCACAGCCTCACTGTGTGTGTCACGGTCTCCCTGTGTGTCACCGTCTCCCTGTGTGTGTCACGGTCTCCCTGTGTGTGTCACGATCTCCCTGTGTGTGTCACGGTCTCCCTGTGTGTATGGCAGTCTCCCTGTGTGTGTCACAGTCTCCCTGGGTGTGTGACAGTCTCCATGTGTGTGTCACAGTCTGTGTGTGTGTGTCACGGTCTCCCTGTGTGTGTCACGGTCTCCCTGTGTGTGTCACGGTCTCCCTGTGTGTGTGGCAGTCTCCCTGTGTGTGTGTCACAGTCTCCCTGTGTGTGTGACAGTCTCCATGTGTGTGTCACAGTCTCCATGTTTGTGTCACGGTCTCCCTGTGTGTGTCACAGTCCACAGTCTCCCTGTGTGTGTCACGGTCTCCTTGTGTGTCACAGTCTCCATGTGTGTGTCACAGTCGCCATGTGTGTGTCACAGTCTCCATGTGTGTGTTACAGTCTCCATGTGTGTGTCACAGTCTCCCTGTGTGTGTTACAGTCTCCATGTGTGTGTCACAGTATCCATGTTTGTGTCACGGTCTCCCTGTGTGTGTCACAGTCCACAGTCTCCCTGTGTGTGTCACAGTCTCCCTGTGTGTGTCACGGTCTCCCTGTGTGTATAACGGTCCCCCTGTGTGTGTCACGGTCTCTGTGTGTGTGTCACGGTCTCCATGTGTGTGTCACAGTGTCACTGTGTGTGTCACAGTCTCCCTGTGTGTGTAACAGTCTCCATGTGTGTCAAAGTCTCCCTGTGTGTGTCACGGTCTCCATGTGTGTGTCACGGTCTCCATGTGTGTCACGGTCTCCATGTGTGTATCACAGTGTCCCTGTGTGTGTCACAGTCTCCATGTTTGTGTCACGGTCTCCCTGTGTGTGTCACAGTCCACAGTCTCCCTGTGTGTGTCACAGTCTCCCTGTGTGTGTCACGGTCTCCCTGTGTGTGTCACGGTCTCCCTGTGTGTGTCACGGTCTCCCTGTGTGTGTCACAGTCTCCCTGTGTGTGTCACGGTCTCCCTGTGTGTGTCATGGTCTCCTGTGTGTGTGTCACGGTCTCCCTATGTGTCACAGTGTCCCTGTGTGTGTCACAGTCTCCATGTGTGTGTCACAGTCTCACTGTGTGTCACCGTCTCCTGTGTGTGTGTCACAGTCTCCCTGTGTGTGTCACGGTCTCCCTGTGTGTGTCACAGTCTCCCTGTGTGTATACGGTCCCCCTGTGTGTGTCACGGTCTCCCTGTGTGTGTCACGGTCTCCATGTGTGTGTCACAGTGTCACTGTGTGTGTCACAGTGTCACTGTGTGTGTCACAGTCTCTGTGTGTGTCAAGGTCTCCCTGTGTGCCACAGTCTCCCTGTGTGTGTAACAGTCTCCATGTGTGTCACAGTCTCCCTGTGTGTGGCACGGTCTCCATGTGTGTGTCACAGTGTCCCTGTGTGTGTCACAGTCTCCATGTGTGTGTCACGGTCTCCCTGTGTGTGTCACAGTCTCCCTGTGTGTGTCACAGTCTCCCTGTGTGTGTCACAGTCTGTGTGTGTGTGTGTCACGGTCTCCCTTGTGTGTCACGGTCTCCTTGTGTGTCACAGTCTTCCTGTGTGTCACAGTCTCCCTGTGTGTGTCACAGTCTCACTGTGTGTGTCACAGTCTCCCTGTGTGTGTCAGCATCTCCCTGTGTGTGTCACAGTCTCCCTGTGTGTGTCACAGTGTCCCTGTGTGTGTCACAGTCTCACTGTGTGTGTCAGCGTCTCCCTGTGTGTGTCACAGTCTCCCTGTGTGTGTCACAGTCTCACTGTGTGTGTCACAGTCTCCCTGTGTGTGGCACGGTCTCCTGTGTGTGTGTCATAGTCTCCCTGTGTGTCACAGTCTCCCAATTGGATTTGGGTCAGCTGAAGAATTGCTAGAGAAATATTTAACTATACTCAGTGTTTTATATAACAAAGAAATCCTATTTGCTGAACAGAAATTTTTATTTTACAGGAGGGATTTGTTTAAATTTTCAAAGATAATTGCAGTTACATAAATTTGTTTTTAGTGAAAATCCTAAGGAAATCAAAAGTATTTAAGGAAACTTCAATTATGATGTAAACAAAAATTTTAGCAGGATCACTTGTCTGATTACGGAAAGTACTACTAGTAGAACATTTATAATTAATGAAGTATTCATTTCATATAGTTACTTCAAGGGGAATAAACTTACTAATAACAATTATTTGGGATATGTCACTTCTCTATAGTTATTGACACATTAAATTTTGGATTTGAAATAAACTAAAAGTTTGAGCTAAGCATAGTTATGCACACCTTTAATCCCAGCACACAGGAGGCAGAGGCAGTCAGATCTAGTTCAAAGTCCATCTGGTCTTCAGAGTGAGTTCCAGGACAGCCAGGGCTGTTTCACAGAGAAATCCTGTCTCCAAGAAAAAAAAAAACACAAAAGCAAACAAACAAAAGCTATGTGATGCATGACATGACATTCTATATGTTTGTCTTAAAGATCCCTTACCTCTTTTTCTAGGAATACTGTCGGATTTAGGATAAGGAAACACTAGGCTATCTACAAATGCAGTAACAAGTGCCTGATGTGCGCATTCATGGTTGACAAGTGGTCTCAGTGCTCACAATAACCTGAGCAAGCAGTCTAGTGGGGGCAGAGAGATGATGTAAGAGTCTTCTAAGAATTATTTTTGAGCTATGTAAGCCTGATTCTGCCATTTCAAGCTTCTCTTGTTACTTATCAATCTATCCATATTGGACCTACGATATCTGGAGGAAACGTCTGTGGATTCTTTGAAAGTGTTGACTTAATATTGCATTTAGAAGACTGGGGGACACAATAGCTTCTAACTAAGGATGTTGTACATCAGCACCCAGGTATGTGAGGTCAACAGCTGTGGTTATATTCAGCCGCTTTAATTGTATATTGCATTTTATCTCTTGTCTCAGATTTCATAAGCTGGTGAAGATGAGACAGCTGATGGATAAATGAGTCCAGTTGTTTTGTTAGAATATTATAATTAGCTAAGAAGTAACAAGATAACTTCTCCCCTCCTGTAAACCCTTGCCAGTCTACCTAATGCCGATTCCTAACACTGGATTTGTCGTTTTTTTAGATGTGGAAGTTATATACTATGACTGGATTTCTCTTTGTTTACATGACGCCCTTATGGACTAGCAGGGTCTGTGCTTTAAGTATCTCCTAACCGTCCAAACTTTAACCAAATATATGCATTTGTGTATTAACCAATATTTTTTTCACACTTGCACACTGGGAGCAAGCACTACTCTGTGCCGCATGCAATACCACTAACACAATAGATGTAGCAAACTGACTCCTAACTGTAAACCACTTCCTAAACTAAGGCAATAACTGATTTTGAGGATGGAAAGTGAATTCCATGAAGTTTATGGATGAACTTTCAATATTTCTATTAAATAAAAAGACCTGTACTGATGCTGACATTTTATACCATGATTTTAGATTAAGCATGACTTTGTGTTTTTATTACTGAAGTAGAAATGGAAGTATTAATTTATATCAAAGAATAGTTCAGTCAAATAGTTTATTGAATAAACAATTTGATTTATTTAGAGATATAGGCATGACTTATATTCTAAATTTAGCTTAAAACAAACAAGGAGTACAGTAACCATGGACTTAGTAGCTAGGAAGAGGTTCTGCCATACCCTGGCTTGTTCTTGTGACTGTTGCCTCATCTGCAACACAGTCCTAATGAGGAATGACTCTTCTCCTGTAGCCATAAGCAATAACTGCTTTTAAGTTAAGAGTTTCAAATGCTGACTTGAAGTAAGAACTTCAAGCACACAAAGATATTAAATCAAGTAAGTACACACTTGTAAAAATTTGAAGTAAGATTTATTTTCCACTCCTGATGTTATGATAAGTATATTTTAATTATCCCAGAATCTAGATTGAGTAATAAAACTATTCACTTCTATCTTGAAAATCAGTTGCTATGATAAATATCAGTCAAATAATTCTCAGAATTTTAAAAATATATTTTATTTTTCAGCAAAGATGTCAAGGAAATTAAGCTTGCCAACTGACCTAAAGCCCGATTTAGGTAAGTAGAAGTATCCAAAGTAACTAAACCTTATAGTAGGAAAGTGGAGATTTTCTGAAAGTCATTGTTACAATGACAAGATGCTCCATGATTTAACATCTTTTGAAATAGTGTCTAGGCAAAACAAAATATGTATTTCCTTGCCTCTCTTTCTTTTTTATAAATAAAATTTAATAAAATTTCCTCAGTTACAGGTTAATTTTTAGTAAAACTGTTTATATGCCATCTATTCAAAAACCATTTTAAACTCTACAAACTTATTTTTATACTAGTTTAATATTTCTGAAATAAATAACTAACTTTTCATATAGATCAAATTTCTTATTAAGCATTGTCATTGTTGACTTTGATAATACTTTAGGAATACCCTCTTATAATACTTTGATGTAGTTCATTCATTATGAAAGCAACGGAAGGTATCCACACATTTTCCTTTAATATGTCTCATAACAGTATAACAGCTCCCAGTTTTTTACATACATAAATGGCTTTGCAATAAAGATAGCAAGATCCATGTAGTACAGGCAAAGCCACATTTCTCCTTGAATCTTCTCCCTGAAGTGTCTGTTTATTTTATTGAAGAAGTAGAGATGAAATTTGCTTTTACTGTCTTTTACTGAGTACTGTCTTAGGGATGACTGCATTGCTTTCCTTGAAGTTTCCCATTCATTCCCCTCTCACTGTTACTAACTAGAGTCCTTCTCAGACTTGGGTGTTGGTCCAGTTCAACATACTAATTTTAGCATATCTGTCTGCCATTTCTCTTACCTCTGTTATACTGAGAGGAAACATGTGGTAATTAGTAAAAGCCTATTATGTGCATAACTATCATCAGTAGAAAATTCAGACTATTGGAAATCCAAATTAGTATAATTCTACAGTACCATTCTTAAAGGGCAATGAAATTAACCATAGATCAAGCTAGCTCCTGTTTCCAGAAGAACATCATCCTTTATTATAAAAATGAAAATCAGAGTGCCATGTTGATATAGGGAGGAACAGAGGGAGGGTATTGTAATTTAAGAAAAGCAGTGGGCAAGAGAAAAATGTCATAGGCAGGGTTCAAGCAGAGGATTTTTTTTTAATTAGGGAAAGGGATCATAAAGGGGGAAGGGAGAGACTGGCCTCCAGAGACAGGAGCAACAGGAGAGAGGAAAGAGGGGCAGAGAGAGAAAGTGGGGGGGCAGACAGACAGGGAGAGAAAGAAAGAGAAGAGGATGGGAGGTGGGCAGGGCCCTTTTAAAAAGGAACATAGTGAATGTGCCCAGGTGGTGCTCTCAGTGGTTGCAGCTGAGAGTGTATCCTGTCAGATCTCCAAGAGCAGGCCTGTACACATACCTGAATAGGAGGGGGAGAGCTGTCAAAACATAAGTTTAATTAAAAGCATTTATGTAAAACTGTTAAAGTAAGATTTCTAACTAAAAGATGAAAGTCATAATTTGAACCCAAGCATTTCATAGAGATGCATTGTACATGTTTGCTCTAGAAGGGCTCAGGATTTTCATCACACATTTGAAGAGGCTCATGGTTTCAGTAACATTAAATATTGCCAGTTATAAACTGACTGTGAGTTTTTCAGGATCTTTATAAGTCTCATGTGCTCAAATACTCATTTAAAAGTACTTTTAAAGCTAGTAATCCACACATATATCCATTACAATCAACTATTTTTAAAAACATAGCATGTTAAATTATACAAGTAATTTAGCCAATGTGTGCCCACCATGCTTTTATAGGCCTCTTTAATTACTAGTTACAAAGTGATAATATTTTTCAAGGTGATTGGTTAGATTCAACAAAAATGATAATATATAGTATTATGATTACACCTGGTGTTTGGCAAGCATTGCTTTACTCTAGCAATTTTTATTTCTGTTCTTCATGCTAGAACTGTTAAACGTTGTCTAATAGTGCACATTGATTATCCTAGCTTTTAAAAGTTGAGGCAAAATAATCAAGAGTTTGCGATCAATTTAATCTACACACTGAAGCAGTATCTCAAACAAGCATATGAATTAACTGTTCTATTCTGTTTAGCTTGCTCACATGTTAAAAAAAATCAAGCCACAAAGGCCCATACCAACTGACTTAAGAGGGATATGTGGAGTAGTATTTCATGAAATACTGAAAATTCTAACTTAATTTTAAACAGTTCTAGGTAGATGACAGATAGGCAACAGCTGCCCATCAAGGTGGACCTTAGTTGTTGTTCAGTCCCTTTTTCTGATGTTGACATAGCCTGAGGAGTTTCTTTGGTGATATAATTTTTATACATATACTAAAACTAATATAATAAAACTGCTGTGTAGTGTAATATTTTGAAGTTATGTCAGGCTATTAAATTAATACACTGTGTACTCAGCTTTAACATTTAAATTTTAAATTGTTAATTGCCAATAATTTTAACAAAATATGTCATTTTCCACATGTTAGTTTACAGAAATTTGTATTAGCAACTTTTCTTGTATTGCTACTTTCCTTTGTTACCACTAGGGCACAACTAAATTTGTCTGTCATTTGGGTGTATTGTTTAAGTAATAAAATATCATTGGAAAATACATTTAACTTTTAATTTTGAAAAATAACTTTGGAGATTTGAAAGAGTTAATAAATTTTTATGCTCAGTAATTTTTTAAACTCATTCAGAAATGTGGTATTTATTGATTATGGAAAGTTGTTGTATTTACATGAAGGACTTTATTTTCTGTTGTTGTAACAAAATACCCGATACTTCAATAACGAGTTTATTCATTAATAATTCACATTTTAAAAATTTGTTTGCTTGACACCCTCATCTGCTTATCTCTACTCAGGGCTTTCTGGCTATATCTCATAATATATAACATCAGAATGGGAAAATGTGACAGAGGGGCAAGTCACATGGTAGCAAGGCCAGAAATGAATCAGAGGCAGGGGACAGGCTTACTCTTTGTACTACAGTCCTTGTGTTAGCTAGAACTGCACACATGCTCTCTGTGGGTGATGCCACAGTGTCATACTGACCTCCCACTGGACCCTGCTCTTAAAAGTTGTGTCATGTCAGCATTGCCATTCTGAGGACTGGACCTCCAGCACAGTCATCTCTGAGGGACACGCTTACGTCTTCTGCTCACTTTTATACCATGTTATGGTCTGTCATACAAGTGCAGACTTTTGAAGAAAATTAAGATTAGAAATACAGTTAGATGTGACCCTGACTGTTGAAATTACTAGAAAGTTTAGAGGCTAGCTATCATTAAAATTATACTACATAAAATTACTGGAGAAATATTTTCAATTTGTGAGCCTAAATTTGTTCGCAGGAAGCTTGTGAGAGTATAAGGAATGAGTTACACCTTTTCATATTACTAAAATCTACCTTGGAAAGCCTTACTGCATTTTTACTAATGACATTCAAAAGGAAAAAAAAAAAAAAAGAAAGCCATGATTTCAGAAGTGAAGTGTTTCTGGGAATTTTAATATACCTAATGGCACCCTTGAACAAAATGGCTGAAAGTGTGGATTATAGATCCATCTTTTGTACGTGTTTATTGGAGAAAGTTTACACGTGGAAGTTATCTGCAGAGAATCAGAATGACACCATCCTTGTGCTACTGTCATCTTAGAGCAGGAAGTCAGACAGGTCAGAAATCACTGCGGGCACAGCTGTTCTAGGACCACTGTGGGAGAGAGCAAAGCTCTCAATAGCTTAGATCCAAAGGGCAGAGGACCTCTGTGGCTTAGCATGCTGGTGAACTGAGATGGTCAGTGTTGCTTGATACAAAGAGGTTGGATGCAAGGACCAACAAAACTTAAGTCCAAATGGATCAAAGATCTCAACATACATCCAGCCACACTGAAACTTTTAGAAGAGAAAGTGGGAGATACTCTTCAACGAGTTGGTACAGGAGACCACTTCCTAAACATAACACCAGTGGCACAGGCACTGAGATCGACAATTAACAAATGGGACCTTCTGAAACTAAAAAGCTTCTGTAAGGCAAAGAACACAGTCAAAAAGACAAAAAGGCAGGCCACAGAATGGGAAAAGATATTCACTAACCCTACATCTGACAGAGGGCTAATCTCCAAAATTTACAAAGAACTCAAGAAACAAGTCTCCAAAACACCAAAGGATCCACTTGAAAGGTGGGGTACAGAGCTAAATAGAGAATTCTCAGTAGAGGAGGCTAAAATGGCCAAGAGACACTTAAGAAAGTGCTCAACATCCTTAGCCATCAGGGAAATGCAAATCAAAACAACTCTGAGATACCATCTTACTCCTGTCAGAATGGCTAAAATCAAAAACACCGAAGACAATTTATGCTGGAGAGGATGTGGAGAGAAAGGAACACTCCTCCACTGCTGGTGGGAGTGCCGACTCATACAGCCTCTTTGGAAATCAGTATGGAGATTCCTCAGGAAAATGGGAATTAATATACCACTAGACCCAGCAATTCCACTCTTAGGCATATATCCAAATGAGGCAAGTTCATACAACAAGGGCATCTGCTCCACTATGTTCATAGCAGCATTGTTTGTAATAGCCAGAACCTGGAAGCAAAATAGATGCCCCTCAACTGAAGAGTGGATAGAGAAAATGTGGTACATTTACACAATGGAGTATTACTCAGCAGAAAAAAACAATGGAATCTTGAAATTCGCAGGGAAATGGATAGCACTGGAAGAAACCATCCTGAGTGAGGTAACCCAGTCGCAAAAAGACAAACATGGTATGTACTCACTCATATATGGATTCTAGATATGGATCATGATAGTGCCAGTCTGCACTTCCACAGATAGAGAGTCTGGGAAACAGGAAAGAACCTAAAAGATATGCATATATGCATAGTACCCAAGAGAAGAGGATGGAGACAAGATCCTCTGAATGGATGGGGAACACGGCGAGGGGTGGGGGGGAGTGGGACCTGGGAAGAATAGAGGGGGTAAAGAGGAAGGGAGTTGGTCATGGGGGAACAGGAAGTTGAGGGGTGGGGGTAGAATAGGGGGAAGAGGGAATCATAGGATCGAAGACAGATCAGGCACCAGAGTGACCTCGAGTGATCTAAAGGTATAACATCAATTGGCAAGCTAAGCAATAGTGGAGGGACCACCTCGAATGCCCATTCCTGATAATGAACTTGATGTCTATAACCATCCGGGAGCCTTCATCCTGTGACTGATGGAAGCAGAGGCAAACACACAACTAAGCACTGAACTGAACCCAAGGAACCCAGTGACAGAGAGAGAGAGTGATGAGCAAATTGGCAAAGAATGGGCTGGCAAAACCAGCAGAGACAGCTGATCTGAACAGGGGAGTGCTCTTGGACCCCAGACCGACAGTGGGGAGGCCAGCATGGGACTGATCTGGACCCCCAAATGTGAGTGTCAGTGAGAAGGCCTGGGCAACCTATGGGGCCCTGAGCTGTGGATCAGTGTCTATCCCTGGTATACAAACTGTCTTCAGGTGCCTATAGCACAAAGAGAGATGCTCTCTCAGCCTGGACTCTTAGGGGAGTGCCTTGACCCTACCAAGAGTAAAATGACAGACTCTAGATATCCCCTATGTGGAAGGATTTGGCAATAGGGTGGGAGGGAGGGGGGGAAGGGGAGTGTGGGAGGAGGGGAGGGAGAGGGAACTGGGATTGACATGTAAAACAAGCTATTTAAAATTAAAATAAAAAATGATAAAAAAAAAGAAAATCACAAAAGTTAAGTGCTGGTCATGTTTGGAAAAAATAAAGCATTTCCTTTTGAATTCCATGGCAAACTGAAGAGGTTAAACATCAGAGACACAGCCAGGAAGTTACTTTGAGGTTTGTTGAAAAGGTCCAGATGATCATAGTAAGACTGCAGGATTAAATAGAAAAGTAGAAGCTACTGAGGGAGTTTTTAATCACAGTAATTGAACTATAATTGTTCTGTATAAAACTGAGTTGTAGTAACAGTGAGAAACTAAAGATGGAGTCAATCTAGGTGAATGGAGATGAGAACCTGAGTTTAGAATAATGGAACTGGATTGGTGACAGAAAAAAGAACAGGAAACAATATTGTCATAAAACTTGACATCCCAACTCTTATGTAGGTAAATTGAAAGCGTGGAAGCAGGACTGTGGCCTGTTGGTTAAGGTAACCCAAATGTCATCAATGTCAGTAGAATGTAATGCTTTGTTAATGATAGGATTTCTCAGGAGACAAAGCAGAGTGTGTGTCTGAGGAATGCATTTCCTAGAGGCTTGAGATGGAGTTGGAATTGACCACAAGAAGTTAGTGGAAGAAAAAAATAATGAGTGTAATTTTAAAACAGAGATATCAGGTGCTGGTGATAGCTCAGCAGATAATAGCAGTGGCTGCTCTTCCAGAGAACTGGGCTTTAATTCCCAGAGCTCACACAGCAGCTCACAACTATCTGTAACTCCAGTTCCAGGTATCTTGTTACCCTCACACATGCGGGTAAACACCAGTGCACAGAAAATTAAATAAAAAATTAAAATACAGTAGCTGTATTGTTACAAACTTGAGTAGAGAAATAAGCTTGGCATTAAGAGTAAGTCAGATACTAGTTACACATTTGGAAGCCATATTTCTTAGATGAATATTATTTGTCCTCAAGGGAAAGGAGGGAAATTTCCCATTGGTTTTTCTGGTGTTCATGTGAACAGACTGGGAGACAGAAGTGGTTCACCCTTCAAGCACCCATAGATGCAGTTTTTACATGGAAAGACTTGAAATGATCTTTACATTTTTGGTTTTATTTAGTCATGAATTATGATGCCAAGGAGGTAACAACTCTGTGAGAACAGTGTGTGGTGACAACAGAGGCCATGTATTCAGTGTTTTCTTTGGGAAGTACCCTGCTCACTTCTGAAAACTATATATTTATATTTTATATTTAAGCAAAAAAAGGAAATTTCATTAACATGAAAGTAATTTTTCTTTTCACCTAAAAGGACATATGCCCTATATTTTGCTTTGGGGAAAATTTAACTTGACAACAAAAGAGAAGTGTGATATGTCATAACTAAAGCAGCCCCACGATTTTAATCATTTCAGATGTAAAAGATAATTCCTTCAGCAGATCTCGGAGTTCAAGTGTCACCAGCATTGACAAGGAGTCCCGAGAGGCTATCTCTGCTCTTCATTTCTGTGAAACTTTTACTCGAAAGGCAGACTCCTCCCCCTCCCCATGTCTGTGGGTAGGAACGACACTGGGAACAGTGTTCATCATCACACTGAACCTTCCCCCCGGGCCCGAGCAAAGACTCCTTCAGCCAGTGATTGTGTCTCCAAGTGGTGCGTATGCCCTGGTGCTGCATGCGGATGTGTGCCCCGTGTGGGACACGCTCTGGCTTAATTAGCATTTACCAACCTAAACACTGTAAAAATAAATGGTATTAGTGGCAGTTATGTGTTTTAAGAAATACATTTTCTAGGGGTCTGGAGAAGGCTCAGCAAGTAAAATCGTTTGTCACTCAAGCCTACTGACTTGAGTTCAGTTCCCCAGGGGTCGCATGAACAGCTCAGAGCAGGTGGTACCCATCTGTAAACCCAGCACTCCCATGTCATGGTAAAAGTTAAGACAAATTGGCCAAGAGCTCTCAGGCCAGCCAGCCTGGACTGCACAGCACAGAGCAAAGGAGGCCTTGCCTCCAAAACAAGGGGAAGGAGATTTGCCTTTTCGCTTCCACAGGTGCCTGTGTCCACAAATTAGTCTTAAACTTCTTAAAGTAAAATAAATTTTCTAGTTCTATATTTAAAGAAAACAGCATATCATTCATTTATTAATCTGCAGGCCAGCTATGTATATGCAAAATTCATTATTTAATTTTAAATTATTAATTACTGACATGTGAGTTTGGAGCATGTAATGACATATTTTTGTAGACTCATAAATGGCATGGCTTGAGTTCTGGATTTTTTTTTTCAGTGACCTGATACAGTTATATATTCAGTGCTTTGTGCATCCAATATATTTGTGTGTATTTAGTGTCAGAGTTGGAAAGAGGGTCTTTACCCTGAATTTAAAAATGGAAGTGTATACTAAACTTCTACATTCTAGGTACTATATTGAGGTTAAAAGGTGCAATCTTGAGAATGGCATTTCTGGATGCCGTGGGCTGCTTAATGCCACCTGCGTCTGAACCCTGGAAAGAGCACAACGTTCCTGAAGAAAAAGACGAAAAGGAGAAACTGAAAAAGCGGCGCCCTGTCTCAGTCTCCCCCTCCTCTTCTCAGGAAATTAGTGAAACCCAGTATGCAGTGATATGTTCTGAAAAGCAAGCTAAGGTCATCTCACTGCCAACCCAGAACTGTGCGTACAAGCAGAACATTACCGAGACATCCTTCGTGCTTCGCGGAGATATTGTAGCACTGAGCAACAGTGTCTGCCTCGCCTGCTTCTGTGCCAATGGCCATATTATGACTTTCAGGTAAGAATGAGGCCGTTTCTAAACACATATAGCATCCCTACTTGAATGACAGGATGAGATTCAGCTTGAGAAAAATACTGAGATTTTTATAGTCTTACACACTGAAAGCTTATTTTCATTCAGCTGTATAAACTAAATGATTGAACAGCCCCAACCATTTTTCTCTTTTTTTTTCATGAATTTTCTAGGCTAGCATTCAGGGTAATGTTTTTCACCATCACGTCTTCATACATAGCGTCATTGTACATTGTACCCACCCTATAAATGACTTGCTGACTGTTACTAACAAATTACTTCCTTTCCCTCAAGTTTGCCAAGCTTAAGACCTCTGTTGGACGTCTACTACTTGCCCCTTACCAACATGCGGATAGCCAGGACCTTTTGCTTCACCAACAATGGACAAGCGTTATACCTTGTTTCACCGACAGAAATCCAGAGACTCACCTACAGTCAAGAGACGTGTGAAAATCTTCAAGTGAGCAATGCCAGTGTTTGAACTTCTGTAGAGCTTAAGGATTCTCTGAGGGCCCTCATACTATCTTTGTCCGCTTTCTCATGAAATGCACATCTGAGCCAATGTGCGAAAACTTGGAACCTTTTTGTTAGGTTTATGTTTGATCACGTTATTTTATTATACTGGGTTGCATAGGGTAGTTTTCATGTAGGCATATAATATATACTTGAGGCATACCCCCCATACCCCTTTACCTTTCTTTTTCTCTGCTGTCCACTAATTAGTCTTGATTGAACCCTGCACAGGTTTTCTTCTATTCTCATGTCATCTATGCATATAAATTTTACAGATCAATATAAAATCTAGAACCTACAAATGAGAAAAAAGACATGTAATGTTTGTCTAAGACTTAATTTATTTAGTACAACTATCACAATAGATCGTCAGCTGCATTTTAGGCCCCAAACTATAAAGCTTCTAAAAGGAAATGAAAGAAGAAAAGTTCTTTGTCACCTTGGGTTAGGCTGTGGTTTCTTAGCTGCCGCTCAAATTCATGTTTCTGTTATAAAAACACAAACTGATAACTTCAAAGTATAAGCTTATACTCTTCTAAACAGAACCATATAAGACAAATCCGAACTATATTAAAATGTTAGTAAAAGTCTATAAAGGATGTCTTCCTTTCCATCAGCATCTCTTCATCTCCTTATCTTCATGTTCCCACAAAGACCACAAGGTCTGTAGCGAATGGGCATATATCTTGCTCCTGGTCTTAGTGGGAACGAGTAGAGCATTTTCTCTAGTATCACGTTGATCATAGGTGCTGAAGAAATTTTTATAGTACCTGGGGTAAGGATATTGTTGGTTACTTATTGTGAGAAATTACTTATACGAGAAACTGAAAACCCAGGTGTCTCTACAGCCTTTCAAGACCCGACCTGAACCCCGAAAGAGAATGAATATCTCTATCCTCAGCCCTTTATTTCACACACCCATACACACCTATAGCCATGCCCCAAACAGGCGTGGTCAGCGGCGCAGGTGCTTAGATCTCTCCTTACACATAGGTTTGTCATTGTTGAGCTGTGCTCCTAGCTACTCCCTGTCGGTAGCTGTTCCTCTCTCCATACTTGCTGTTACCTTTTCTTCTGTTGGAAGAATGCTGACAGTAAGTTCAGGGAAGGCTAGCAGTTGTAAAAGCCCCTCTAACCTCTTCCTGTGGGTTTCTGAAACCCATGTGTCAGAAGGATGCTTGTGGAAATTACGTGTTTATGAAAAGGGAAATTGACCTGTCTAAATGACCATTTGTCTGATTCCCCTCAAGATGACAATTTTGGCGCTGGTCATGGCCGTTGTTAAACAAATGCCTTGGCTTGCTGATAGAGAATATTCTTTCATTAGAAGATAACCTGGTTATCTGGAAAATTATCAGTTCATCTTGAATTAGATTTAAATGTTATCTTGAAAATCAAATACTGATTGGGCATGGCAGTGCAGCCCCAGAACTCAGAAAAAGATCCTCTGTTCTAGGCCAGCCTGGGATACATACCAAGACAGTCTCAGACGCAAGCTAGTCTGTTCACCCTCTAGGCAGGTGTGCTGTCTTGATGCTAATGCTAACAAATGATAGGTGGGAGGGGAAACAGCACATTGGTCTTAGTAACTCTGTTCATAGAAACATACTGTTAGAGTAAGTCAGTTTGTGTCTGCTCTGACCACTTGGAATTTTCTTATCACTTGGTGAATCTCAAGGGAATTGTTACCACGTCACGGCATTCACAGTGGTGACCTTGTTAATTCAATTTCTGCTTTCCTGGAGCTTTAACAGTGCCACTGGTTTTGATTTTAAAGGAGATGCTGGGTGAACTCTTCACTCCTGTAGAAACACCAGAAGCGCCCAACAGGGGGTTCTTTAAAGGCCTATTCGGAGGCGGTGCACAGTCTCTCGACAGAGAGGAATTATGTAAGTCGGCTTTATTTTCCTTTAAGACAAAAAACATTCCATCTATGCAAATATTTTGTTACATGTACAAATTATGCTTACTTTTTCATGCCTTTCACAATAATATATTTAACTTTGTCATTCTGTTCTCAACCAGGAAACTATTTTTCTCAGAGAGCAAAAATTAACATAACTTCAAATGGCTAAGAACAAAAAAGGTGTTTAGCATTTTAAATTGGTAATTTAGAAAATATGTTCTTTTTTAATATTAAATGTGACCTTTTATTGTTTTATTTTGTGATTGCCATTAATTGATGACTGTGTTGCAATTCTGTCAGTTTTATAAAATACCAGAGAGATCAACATAAAGGGAAAAAAAGTTGGCTATATTTGTTGGGGTGTTTTTCCAGGTACGGGGAGTTAAACCTTGGGCTCTCACATGCTGGACAAGTCCTTTCCCACTCTAAGCTTAGCCCAGCAGGGTTCTGCGTGGTTTATAGCTCCAACTCCCAGCTGGGGGAGGGAGAAAGTCTGCTGGCAGAAAGTTTGTTACATCACAGCAGCTGGGAAGTAGAGAGTGCGGAGTGACCAAGGTCCTGCTATCCTCATCAAGGGCAAAATAATCTGTAGCTAAAGCTTTTCAAGCAACAGGTTTAGCGGACTTGCTGGATAAATCAACATACAAACACTGAAAATGAAGCCTTTATCAATTGTTATGTGTGTTAGTTTCCTGTCACTGCTGTTACTCCACAAATATATTGACCTAAAACAACTCAGCTTACTAGGCTTGTAGGCTTCAGTCTTGTCCCTTAGAAATAAGCAGAGTTTATCTTGGTGCCACCAGCACTGCGTGCTTCACTGGGGGCTCTGGGTAAGAATGCTTTTCCTGGCCTTGTTTGATTTCTGGAGAACATCACTAATCCATGGCTCCTGATCTTTTATGTCAGACAAGAAAGGCAATGTCATATCCCTGTTTTTCTGAATCTGCTTTTCTCCCTGCCTGCTCTTAAAGAGTCCTGTGATCTGACTGCAATCACTGAGATGATACAAGATAACCACCCAGGTGGAAGTCCTAGCTTAACCACTTGTGAAGCCCCCTTTCTAATATAGGCTGCTATATTCCTGCCTTCCAGAGATTGAAGTGTAGCCATAACATTGAAGATGTGGCATTTTTTTCTATCTCTCAGCAGTTATTCATTTTTAGAAAAATGTAGTTGAGTGTTAATTTCAGGAGAAAGGGACTTGCCTACCACACACAAGGTGAATGGATAAATGGATACGTGGATGAATGGATGAATGGATATGAGGGACTTTTCCTGGGAAGATGGACATACACATATGTGGTCATCCCAGAAAGGCAACCTGCCACAGTCCAAAGTAATTATTATGCTAATGTCCAGCTTTGTGAATCAGTGACTTTCTACTGGGAGTTACTAGTAAACAGGCCTACCAATGAGGGGTTTCTTACGGGAGTAAGGATGCCTCCAAAGCAGCTGCAGTACAGAACAGCCCAACACAGGTGATGTCTCAAAGATCCACAGCCCTAAAGCTCTTTGCACAGCTTGTAGACAGCTGGACAGTCCTGAGTCTCTCTCAGCAGTTTGGCTGACCACACCCCTCCTGCAGCAGATATTCATTCCTGTAAAGCTAGAGACCAGGCTTAAGTTCCTGCTTCCCTTAGATACTCAAAGTTTTGTTTACCTCCTGAGTCTCATGTGCCTCCCTCTCCTACCATGCTTCAATTCAAAGAAACCGCTGAACATCAGCATGTTTGTGTGCATGCCTGCACATACGTACGCACTTACTTAATGACATTCTAATCTAGGTCCTTCCCATGATGTGACTGACAGTCAATTTAGGTGAGAGTGCAGATGGCTTTCACCGCATGGTTTCAATTGTCCTCGGGGCACAAACCAGGATAACTACACAAGAAAGGAAGGGGAAAGTGGAAAACCTCAAACCGACTGTATTTGCAGATAACATGATTTTCATTATAGAAGATCCTAAGGCAACCAACCAAAAATAAATAAAGCTGATAAGCAAGTTGGCAAGGTCAAAGGATCTATGGTCAGTCTCTAAAAGTTACCTGTTTTTCTATATGATGGCAGTGGATAATCCCAAAGGAAAATTTGGGAAACAATCCTTTTATCTCAACATCAAAGAAAGAAAAAAAAATCATTAGATCTCAGTATGGTCTTGGTGTCCTGGTAGCATAGGCTTCCTGAGAGAAGTTTATATTATATGGACTGTGTAGGGGAGTACATTATATGGTCTTAGGTCTTCTTTGATGGTCTGATAGAGTTCTGCATTATAAATGAACCACTTAGAAACAGCTTCAGCAAAGAACTGAAAGGCATTCTCACTAAAACTTGAGAATATTATTTTTAAAATTAATAGGTAAAAAGAATAGCATCTCCTGTTCCTGGATCTAGAGACTTTATTTATCCCCCTGAGATATCAGCACTGCTCCTCAAACCGACCTAAATAATCCCTATTAGAGTCCAAACCAGGTTTTTGTGCAAATAATAAATGGCTTGTAAGATTTCTATGAAATGAAGTAAGTGAGGTAACCCTTCTGTAAGCAGAAAGTCTGAAAGCAGAGGGCCAGAGGACACACATTTCCATGGCAAGCATTACTACAAGCTATAGTCTACAAGACGTGGGGTATTGGCATGAACGTAAGCAAAAGGATACAGGTTAGAGTCCAAAAACATACCTGTAGCATTTATAGTCAGTTGATTTTCTGCAAGGATGCCAAGAAAATCAGTGATGAAATAATGAACTTGTCAACAAGTGATATTGATACAACTTGATATTCATGTGGATTAAAAACAGCAACATGAAAATTAAGTCAAAAGAATCAAGGACTTTTAAAGGGTTAAAGTACAAAACTCTTGGAAGGAAGTGAAGTAAATCATTGTCACCTCAGTTAGTCAGTGGTTCCCAGACATTTCACCTAAGTTAAAAAACAACCAGAGAATAAATGAGGGGAATTGTAGTTAATATATGTGAAAGCTGTGTGTTTCAAAAAATTAATAGCAAGAAGAGAAGATGACAATTCCCATAATTGGACAAACTGCATACATATATTGATATGATAAAGTCTATTTTATAAACCTTGTAAAGTCTACTATCTGCAACATACAAAGAACTCAGGATTCAGTAATGGAAGAATAAGTAGCCCAATTTTGGATGAGTGGAAGGTTTGTATTTCTTTTGAAATATTCTTGATCAGTAATTATCAAAAGATGTCTGACATCATTTGTCATTCAGGAAACAATGTGTGTAAGAAGCCGTAGTGAAGTGCCATGTTCACTAGGATGGCTGCAGTCAGCTCACATGCACATTGGAAGGCAATAGAGAAGTTGCAGCTCATGTTGTTGATGGAGATAAAAATGCTGCATGCCCTTGAGAAAGCTGCCTCCTAGATTCAGATAGTTCAACATGGAGTTACCAAGTGTCTTAGCCATCCCATTCCTGGCCATATATGCCAAGGGAACTGAAAATATGTTTATACAAACACTTCCACAAATGTTCAGGTGAGCATTACTTATAGTAAGCCAAAAATGTGGAAACTACCCATTGGTTAATGACAATGTAAGCAAAATATGGTGTGTCCAAAAAATGGTACACTATTCAGCCATAAGAAGAAATGGCACTGATGTGTGTTACTACACAGATAAATGAGACCTTATCTTCAATTAAAGATTTTGGCCATGAAAGTCTACTACTTTTGTAGATCCATTAGCCATGAGCAGTCACAGGCTATGTGGATATGTTTATATGGAGTATTCACAATGGACAGATATTTAGAGAAAGAATGCAGTAGTGGCCATGAGTAAGACAAGAAGAGTAGAGAGGGATGGTGATTGACCATGGGCTTCTTTGTGAATTATGAAGATGTGTTCTGGGGTTGGGCAATATGTGAGGGGTCCTTACTTAGGGCACAGGAAAAGAAATGTGAGCAGAGAAGTTCAAGCGTGTATGACTGGGGTCTAATCTGAGGAGCCTAAGACTTTCTATGACCTAGGTGTTAGAGAGCCAGGATCTTGGTATGGGAGTGAAGAAGCAAGTCATTTAAAGAAAAGGTGTGATTTTATGTATCTGAAAAACCATTAATGGAAACAAAGAAAGAATGCCTACAAATCTGGGCTTCCAAAATGGAAATAGTATTTTTATAAGTAAGTGTGGAATAAGAACAGAAAATCAAATGTAAAAAATTAAAACTTAACTCTTTATGCTTAAAGTTAAAAGTTAAAATTCATAAACTATAATGTTAATGACTAAAAAAGCAATTTTAGTTACAAAATTTGGATCAGTGTATATAAAGAGAGGTTCTTTGTCTCTGCTGTTCCCACTGCCCTTCATCCCCAAATGAACACACAGATGCTACATTAGTTATAAAACTGTTGGCCCATTGCTTGGGCTTCTTATTGACTAGCTCTGTCTTAATTATTAACCCATTCCTATTAATCTAAGTATTTCCGTGTGGTCTTATCTTACCGGAAAAGGGTCTGGACCTGTTTGTTACTCCTTTGGCAGCCTACATTGCGACTCCATCTGCTTACACTTCCCAGATTTCTCCCCCATCTTCTAGCCCTGCCTATATTTCCTGCCTGGCCATTCAGTGTCTTATTCGTTAACCAATAAGAGAAACATATATAGAAGGACATCTCCCATCAAGTGTACCTACTTCTTTCTACAATGTCTAGCTAGCCCTGATTTCCCCTTTATAAACTTGGCAAGAGAAGGATGATTATAGTGGTCCATTGTGGTTTTGCATATTTGGAAAAGCATCTATAAATAATTTAAAGCAACATGAAAAAGGTATGTCATAAAGTTAAATATTAATATTCTAACTGTGCTGCCACATGATCCAAATTTTGTAACTTAATGCTGCCATGTGGTGGGAATTTTTCTTATTTTTTCTCCATTATTAAAACCTTCCAGTTGGAGAGTCATCCTCAGGAAGGGCCTCAAGGAGCCTTGCACAGCACATCCCGGGTCCTGGTGGGATTGAAGGCGTAAAGGGGGCTGCATCTGGAGTTGTGGGTGAACTGGCCCGAGCCAGGTTGGCCCTGGATGAAAGAGGACAGAAGCTTGGTGACTTGGAAGAGAGAACTGCAGCCATGTTATCCAGTGCAGATTCATTTTCTAAACATGCTCATGAGGTACGTCTGACATGCAGACAGTCACCCAAAGAACTAGACAAAGCCAATATGAAAATGACTGCATGTTGTATGTTTTGTTATTTCTACAAGCATGTATTTTGTAAAATTGCAAGTTCCGATTTTTACCACAAGAGGGAACCATTTAAAGAATGTGACAGTAGTTTCTGACCTCTCCTAAAATGCCTACATTTTGAAGGAACATGCCCACCTTAAGGACCTATGTAAGCAATACAGAAGGTTTGCAGCCGTTTGTCAGTGACCTTGATAAAAATGCCAACTTCCTTAACTCACCAGAGCCTGCAATCTCCTTGACCTAAGATGAAAATCAGTTGTCTCCTGGATTCTTCCAGGTAGATCTAAATAACTAAAATCAGTTAGCTTGTTGAGTTTGTGTGTATTGTAGACTAATGCTTATGGAGAGATAGTGGCACAGCTTTCGTAGTGGATTCATTGATCTCAGAAGCAGATGCCGTAAAGTGTAGGGATCTCTAAATGATGCTCACACAACTGTATTTTGTTGACTGATACAGGACTTTATGAAAACTTAATTTGTGGGCTGCTTTAACTGGAATTTTGAAAGCATATTTTTCTTGATTTTTTTCTCCCCTTTTAGATGATGCTGAAATACAAAGATAAAAAGTGGTACCAGTTCTGACAACCAGAATCCAATAAGACTAGCTTCAGCCAGAAGGAGAAGGAAATTTCCGTGTTGATGTCGTTGACGTGTCTGGGAAGAGAACACGGAAGGGCGGCACACTGCTGCAAACTGTTCTTTCCCAGTACAATCAGGCACTGTTTTACCTCAGTCACACGGCTTCACCTGAGAACTCACACACGTGCAAACTGGAGCACACAGTTGCGCTGGCTGTGCGTTGACAACCGGAGAACTTAGCGGGGTCACATTGACGGATGAAAACCACAAAGGGATGTTGAGAAGTCCCAGTGGGCTATTCCTTGGATCATTCCTGTATTAAACTTTCATATGCCAAAAGATTTTGTGCCGTTGTATCTGCCATCAGTGTTTGATCCGATGTGGGGAGAGGCAATAAATCAGAAGTCATATGTCCAAAATGGTCATATTTGTGTCGGGACTGAGTTATGAACAGCTGTCTGGACTCGCCCTCTCCCAGACAGACTGGTCACCGGTATCATTAGTGAAAAAGCAACAAACTGTCCCTTTTCCTCTAGTCTGCTGAATGGTGGGCTTTAAGTAAGCAGAGCATACACCGCTGTGTATGGCATCCTCTTCGATCCTTCTTACTATATATTTGTGTTCAGTTACTATTTTTTCAGAAGCAAAACAAGGTGATACATCACTTTTCATGGAAAAGTGTAGCGCATGACTGAGTTGCTCATCTTCTGAGAGTCTCCATGTAGTGGCCATGCGGTGTGGAAAGTAAGAAACCCTCCATTGTGGTGAGGAGAATTCTTCAATGTCTTTTGTCCTTGTTCACATTAGTTCAGCTAAAGGTAGATTTGACCTAAAGAGTTACTGGTTCAATTTGTAGAAAAGTTGAAATTGGCTAAGTTTTTAATTTTGCTTGAATTTTTATAAAATGTTTAACCAAATGTACCCTTGTATTATTTAATTAAAATTGCTAAAACAACCATGTTTCATCATTTCAGTAAAATGCTCAGCTCCCCTTTAAAATGTCCTTTACTTGCTAACAATTCTAGTACCCTCAGATGAATACGAGCCAGTTAAATCTTAGTGCACATGCTGTTGCATGGGAGACTGTAAGCATCTTTTGTCAGGAATCGTCCAAGAGTCTAGTCTAATGACCTGCAAAACATGTCCTGTAGAAATATATTACAAATCTGTACATACCCTTCCGAAATACTAAAGGCAAAGAGGAAAGGAGAGTATGTTCACTTCCCTAACTGAATGTTTTCCGTGATAAAGAGAGATGTGCATTCAATGGCAGACACTGGATGATTGGTTCCTGCAGTAGCATTACAGCCCAGAAAGGAAGCAGTCTCTGCTACAGTCAGAGGCTGTAACTGTTAGAGCCACAAAGGAAGAAATGGAGTGTGAGTATGAAATTGATATCCTGTCTTCTATCAAAGTCTCTACTGAGTCATTTATCCCTAAATACGCAGGGCACACATTAACAGGAAGCCTGCTTGTTTTCTCTTCCGTGTGATGCGTGAAGTTCCCTGTAAGACTTTTTCAGTTTCACAGACTGTCACTCACATGTTTCCCTTTCATTAATACATCTTTTGTTTACATTTTATAATGCGCACTCCTGGATATAAAAGTTTACATCAAAGTTTATTTTAAATAGCATTGAGTAAGGATTAAATATATGTGGTGGAGAATTGATCAAGAAAAAAATGTTTTATAACTACAAACCTTTTTAAAAGTTTCTCAATCCATAGAAAGTGAGTAGCATTTCTGTTTTGTGTCTGTGCTCTGAACATTCGGTAGTTTGCAAATTGCCTAATTTGCATTATACATTGTCCACTAAACCCATGTCCTGTGATACCTCATAGGAAGACTTGTGTCCTTTTTAAAAGGTATAGTTTTATGAATATCAGTAGTTGAGAATTTTAAAAGGTTGACATACTAAAGTAACCTGACACACTGCTTGACTCTGTGTGGAGCTATTAATTTGCTGGATTATTTGTGTGTCAAATTCCTTTCTATAGTCATTTTAAGTGATGTAAATAAGATGAATTAAAGTTGTAACTATTTACTAATAGAGAAGTAGCTGTGTTTACCAGAGATGGGTTTTATAAGAACATCCTAATGCATTATTTTAAATTATTTGTTTCTTTTTTTTATTAATCTACGTATTGTACACAACAAACTGAAAGACTGGGAATAGAAAGTACAAAGTATTTTTGGATGGAGAAAATGATCTTCGCAAGTTATGCTTGATGCTGTAAATAAAAGAGTGCAGTACCGAAGACCCAGGGGATGGCTGCCACACCCAACCTACTCCTGTCTTTTTTGATGCAAAAAGAGTAGTCACCAGCCAGCCAAAGTTTCAGGAAATCTAACAGCAACAACAAAAGGTCAAAATAAAAAATATCAGAAAATGAAAAGAGAGAGAGTGTGTGTGTGTGTGTGTATATGTGTGTGTGTGTGTTTGTCTTTGATTGCAAAATTCATGTAGTCTGCAGTTAACATTATTAGCAGGAAGAGATTGCTCTGTGTGCATCACATACCCAACCCATTTCATTTTGTAAACTAAAATCAGTCCATATTTGCTTAGAATACTGTTATTCAAAGTATTTCATTTTCTCAAAATCTTTTTATCTGTTTAAAAAAATGGCATCACCTCAACATGCGCTTGCATTGGAGTCCTACTGTGTTTCCAAAAATTGATTATGCATTTCAAAAACCTATTCTTCTTGATGTGAGGTTGTCATGGAAAAAATTCTGCTGTATACATCTGTCCTTCTGTGTGAGGATACTGTAGGTTCATAAGAATATCCCTTTGGTCAGTAAACATACGAGTGTATGAAACAAGCCTGAAAGTGTACATACATTTAGGATGAAGGGAATACTAGGAGACTACTGAGGAATGGGGATTTGTTCCAAGTTCACCCTGAGTCCTGTATTCGAATCCTCTGTGCTTTGCTCAAGGCATTTGGCATGTGACGTTAGTAAAGCTATCTCCAAAGGTGATTTTTGTGTGTGCGTGTGACAAAGATTTATTTTAACTTGGGGGATTTTTGTTTATTTGTTTCTGCAAAATAAAGAGCACTGAACTTTAAACTTGAATTTTTCTGCACTTTTTTAGGTAATGACTTTTGTTGTCATTTAGTCTGCATTTTTGGTTTAAATCAAGTGGTGTGTGTGCGTGAAACATACCAAAATCGTGACTATGCTGCTAGCTGCACCTGGAACCAATCAGTTCTAAAACCTGTAATAGGGTTTTCTGTAGCTTTTAAAGATTAAAAACAAGAGAAATCGTTTGCTGTACATGTCGGTGTTCTTGATCTTTGTTGCAACAATTTCTGGGTTGTTCACAATCAATCATGCAGTGACACGTTATATTTATATACTGCTAGAGAATATACTTTTAGTTTTAGATGAATTTTTATAAATGTATTCTTTAATTTTAAAATGGTGAACTTGTTAAGTCAAAGTACTTAAAAAGTATGTATATTATCCATACAAAAAGTTATGTTTTACACTTATAATAAGAAATACTGATATCTCATATCGAGATATAATTATGTTTTAAAAAGTCATGCATCACTGAAAAGTCTTCGCACATGCCAAGATACAATTATATAGCTTTTTTTTTTAAAAAACCCTCTACTGAATATTTTCAATCTTGATTTTATTTTGACAGGAAATGTCCACAACAATTATTTCTATAACTTTCTCTATATCTTCAGCTTGCTGTTAGATGCCTATCTTAGCTATTATTAATATATATATATATATATTGAAAATGATTTCCAGATATTTTCTTCTATCTTTTTTAAAAATAAATTTCCAAAAAATAGGAACAGAGTTATGTATTTTTGTCAATGAACTTTTTTTTTATTTTGTGGTTTATAAAATTTGTTCCTCATCAGTCTGATACTTAATCAGTATTCCTAGGCTATTAAATCTCTATTTACTTTGGAAAGGATACTCCTGTGTAGTCAGTGTCCCTTCTGGTTTTCTGTTTCGTCTTTTTCTGTTGGTGTTTGTTCTGGGTTGAGATGGATGCAAACGTGTACTTGTGATTCGGGAATGAATGCGGCTACTGGGGTTTGTCAGTGGCTAGCTCCTTTCTCAGGTCGTCTTACAGAGTGCTGTGGGCATCATGGCTGTCTGCCTCAGATGCTGTGAAGGCTATGAAGGGGGTGGGGATTGGAGCTGAGCTTTCCTGAGGAAGTAAATGGTTTCAGTAACTTCCCTTCAATTATGGGCCTGAGGCCACTGGCCCAGTTCATTCATGAACTAGGTACCAGCCACAGAGCCGCTTTGGAGTGTCCTGTGTCTGTCCCTCAGAGGGATTATGGGTGCACTTCTGTCAATACTTTTCAGCAAGACACATAGTTTAAAGTCAAATTAGTCTTGTCTGTAAGACGTAAATGAATAGTGTCAATTGATTTGTTGTAGGTTAATTGCTATGGAATTCTTTTATGTGATTTTGGATTTTGATGTTTTAAGGTTTTTTTTAATATTACCATTTGTATTTTATCTAAACTTTGCTTCAGTTAAAGACAATGTAATGAGTTGCAAACAAACTTAACACATCAATGGGAAGAAATGCAAAGATGAGAAATAGTGACTTTACTATTACTGTTTGGTTTTCTTTTTTGTAAATAGTAATGTGATATATGTTAGGTGTGACCTCTGCTCAACATGGTAGCTAGAATTGGGGGTGGGGGTGCTTTCTAGTTACACCATTGGTTCATTGTAAATGTGTTTTCAAAAAATTATTTTAAAAAAAGACAGATTTGTTTCCTGGCATTGTCCACACTGAGGGTGAGCATGTTTGGTCCAGACTGCTCCCTGTGTTTTGTAAACCCCATGTGTGCTGTTCAGCTGATGCATTCTCTGTGTTCACTCAGCCCAGTAACTCTAAGATAATTCTGGAATTGCTTTCCAACCGCAGTTGTCTTTTTTTTTAATTATCTGTGTATTATCTCATTTTTTAGATAGCTCTATTGCAAACACTAAAAATGTCTTGCAACTTTGTAGTTATTTTGCATTCCTGTAACTTAACAGAAAAGGAAAACCTGTCATCACAGCAAAAAGGTTCAATATTAAGTAATGAATTTTTTTGTAAACAAATACCATTAAGCTGGTATTCTAAGAATGTATTACAAATTAATGTTTCTGGAAAGTGTGCATACATGTGTATATGAATGTCTGCTGAAGGGCTCTGATTGGGCAAAATAAAATACTCAAATCTCTCCTGAAACAAAAAAACGCACCCCCTTTTTCTGGAAATCTGTTTTAATATTCTTTCGAATTGTGGAATTAGCACATTAGTTGAAGAAAGTAGGCTGTCCCATTTCCAAAGATGTGCTTATAGGTACTTGAGACCACAGACATTGAAGGAGGCGGGGCTCTTGGCGAAAGGCACCTGGCTAGCCACAAGGTAGGTGGTTGGGGTGGAATGGAGGCAAGAGCTAGTTCCTGATGCTCGCCAGAACCAGTGTATCCCAGGAGGGGGCTGAGCTGATGTCGCTGACAAACTCTGACTACAGAACACTTTATGGTCTGTGGAACATCTTTCGAGTAGTGAGGATAATGAATGTTTCCATAATTAGCATTTTCTAATTGATTTGTCGGTATCAGTTTGTACCAAAGTGGGAGGGGGGGCATCCGATTAATGGGTCTAGAATAAAGTCTCTGAGAATGCTGAGGAAATTCTTGTGTCTGGTGAAATTTTTCTGCCTCTTACTGTGATGCACACCTGTTCCACATGGGGGCAGTCACGCCCTGCGAAGAAATCCTTCCGTCTAGTAGGGAGAGTCACAGGGTTTGCAGATGTCTGCTTTTATGATAATCTTTTTATCTGAAAATTTATGCAACACATCATTTTATATTATTACACAGCGATGCATACCATTTCATATTGCTCTGATTGATGATCAAATGTTTTAGTTCGTTCATACTGGAGTAAAAGTTTGAAAACAAGATTTCCTTCTATCTCTGGCCATGCCTTCTTAGCATAACTGAATGTGCCCTATGCAAGTATCTCAGTGTCATTCAGTGCTTTGGAAGAAATATATACTCATTATTTTGACTGTTCCTGAAAGTGTATAGGAAGATTCTATTTTTTCCACTTTAATTTAAAGATAATGCTGTTTGCATTTTCTGTTTGCAGTTTCTGTACCAAAATTAGCTATCATAGGTGCTCTACTAAAAGCTACTAACACGCATGCTGTTTAGGTGAAGGCATCTTTTACAACCAAACAGCCTCTCCTAGTTATTTTCAAGCCTTATTTTCTCTGTTTGTGCTAACCACTATTTTTTTTCCTTTTTTTTCATTTAAATTAGAATCAAGCTTGTTTTACATGTCAATCCCAGTTCCCTGACCCTCCTCTCCTCTCCTGCCCCCCACCAGTCCCCTATCCCATCCCCTGTCTACTCCCCAGGGAGGGTGAGGCCTTCCATGGGGGAATCTTAAAAGTCTGTCATATCATTTAGAGCAGGGCCTAGACCCTCTCTCATGTGTCTAGGCTGAGAGAATATCCCCTCTATGTGGAATGGGCTCCGAAAATCCATTCACATACTAGGGATATATACTGATCCACTACCAGAGGCCCCATAGATTAGCTCCAACCTGACATCCACATTCAGGGGGTCTGGAACAGTCCTTTGCTGGTTTCCCAGCTATTGGTCTGGGTTTCATGAACTCCCCTTTGTTCAGGTCAGCTGTTTCTGTGGGTTTCTCCAGCCTGGTCGCCTTTGTTCATCACTTCTCCCTCTCTGCAACTAGATTCAAGGAGTTCAGCCCAGTGTTTAGCTGCTTTTGCTTCCATCAGCTACTGGATGAAGGCTCTAGGATGGCATATAAGGTAGTCATCAATCTCATTATCTGAGAAGGGCTTTTAAGGTAGCCTCTTGACTATTGCTTAGATTTTTAGTTGGGGTCATTCTTGTAGATATCTGAACATTTCCCTAGTACCAGATTTCTCTTTAAACCTGTGCTACTGGTGTTGTGTTCAGGAAGTGATCTCCTGTACCAATTCATTTGAGGGTACCACATGCTTTCTCTTAGGTTCAGTGTGGCTGGATTTATGTTGAGGTCTTTCACCCATTTGGACTTAAGTTCTGTACATAGCGATAGGTAAGGATCTATCTGCAATCTTATACATGCCTGCATCCAGTTATGCCAGCACCATTTGTTGAAAATGCTTTCTTTTTTCTATTGTATAGTTTTAACTTCTTTGTCAAAGATCAGGTGTTCGTAGGTGTGTGGGTCCATATCAGGATTCCATTAGTCTCTCTGTCTATTTTTGTGCCAGTACCAAGCTGTTTTCAGGACTATAGCTCTATAATAGAACTTCAAGTCAGGGTGGTGATGCCTCCAGAAGTTCCTTTATTGTACAGGGTTATTTGACTATCCTGGGTCTTTTGTTTTTTCATATAAAGTTGAGAATTGTTCTTTCAATCTCTGTGAAGAATTGTGTTAAATTTTGATGGGGATTGCATTGAATCTGTAGATTGCTTTTTGGCAAGATTGCCATTTTTACTGTGTTGATCCTAATTATCCATTTTCTGGTATCTTCTTTAATTTCTATCTTTTCAAAGTTCTTGTTATACAGGTCTTTCATTTGTTTAGTTAGTGCTATCCGAAGTTATTTTATGTTGTTTGTGGCAGTTGTAAAGGGTGATGTTTCTCTGATTTCTTTCTCAGACCTTTTGTCATCTGTAAATAGTAGGGCTACTGATTTTTTGAGTTAATCTTGTATCCTGCCACTTGTTGAAGGTGTTTATCAGCTGTAGGAGTTCCCTGGCAGAATTTTTTAGATCACTTATGTAAGCTATCATATCATCTGCAAATAATGAAAGTTTGACTTCTTCTTTTCCAATTTGATCTCCTTTTGTTGTCTTCTTGATCTAGCTACAACTTCAAGTACAATACAAAGAGATATTGAGAGAGTGAACAGTCTTGTCTTGTTCCTGATTTTAGAGGAATCATGTTGAGTTTCTCTCTATTTAGTTTGATTCTGGCTGTTGGTTTGATACATATTGCTTTTATTATGTTCAGGTATGTTCCTGTTATCCCTGATCTCTCCAGGACCGTTATCATGAAGGGGTGTTGGATTTTGTCAAATGCTTTTCCAGCATCTAGCGAGATGATCATGTGATTTTTTTTTCAGTTTGTGTACATGGTGGATTACAGTGATGGATTTTTGTATGATCAACCATCGCTGCATCCCTGGAATGAAGCCTACTTGATCATTGCAGATGATTTTTCTGATGTGTTCTTGGATTCGATTTGCCAGTATTTTATTGAGTTTTCTTTTTTCATCAATGTTCATGAAGGATATTGGTCTGTAGTTATCTTTCTTAGTTGTATCTTTGTGTGGCTTGGGTACCAATGTTATTAAAGCCTCATAAAAAGTTTGGTAGCCAGACAGTGGTAGCGCACGCCTTTAATCTCAGCACTCAGGAGGCAGAGGCAGGCAGATCTCTGTGAGTTTGAGGCCAGGCTGGTCTGACAGCCTCCAAAACAATACAGAGAAACCCTGTCTCGTAAAACCAAAAAAAAAAAAAAGAGTTTGGCAATGATCCTTCTGCTTCTATTGTGTTGAACAGTTTGAGGAGTATTGGTATTAGCTCTGTTTTTGAATTTCTGGTAGTATTCTGCACTGAAACCATCTGGCCATGGGCTTTTATTTATTTATTTATTTATTTTGGTGGGAGACTTTTGATGACTGCTTCTATTTCATTTGGGGTTATAGGTCTATTTAAATTGCTTATCTGATCTTGATTTAATTTTGGTAGGCAATATCTATCTAGAAAAATGTCTATTTCCTTTAGATTTTTGAATTTTGTGGAGTGCAGGTTTTCAAAGTATGACCTGATGATTCTCTGGATTTCCTCAGTGTCCATTATTATGTCCCCCTTTTCATTTCTGATTTTGTTAATTCACTTGTTTACTCTCTGCCATTTTGGCCAGTTCTGATAAAGGTTTATCTATCTTGTTGATTTTCTCTAAGAACCAACTCTTTGTTACATTCATTCTTTGTATTGTTTTCCTAGTTTCTACTTTATTGAGTTCAGCCCTCAATTTGATCATTTCATGGCGTCTACTCCCCTGGGGTGAGTTTGCTTCTTTTTTTCCAGAGCTTTCAGTAGTGCTGTTAATTTTCTAGTGTGACTATTCTCCAGTTTCTTCATGTGGGCACTTAGTGCTATGAACTTTCCTCTTAGCACTGCTTTCAAAGTGTCCCATAAGTTTGGAGTAGTGTCTTCATTCTCATTGAATTCTAGGAAGTCTTTGATTTCTTTTTTTATTTCTTTCTTGACTCAGCAATGGTGCAATTGCACATTTTTTAATTTCCATGACTTTGTAAGTTTTCTGCAATTTGTGTTGTTGTTGAATTCTAACTTTAAAGCATGGTGATCCGGTAATATACAGGGGATTATTCCAATTATTTTGTACCTGTTGAGGTTTGCTATGTTTCCATTAATATGGTCGATTTTAGAGAAGGATCCTTGTGGTACTGTTCTATAGATGTCTGTTAAACCCAATTGGGTCATAACTTCTATTAGTTCCTTTGTTTCGTTAAGTTTCTGTCTGGTGGTCCTGTCTAGTGGTGAGAGTGCGGTGTTGAAGTCTCCCACTATAAATAAATGTATGATTTGAATTTTAGTAATGTTTCTTTTATGAATGTGGATGCCTTTGTATTTGCAGAATAAATGTTCAGAATTGAGACTTCACTATGATGGATTTCTCCTGTGATGAATATGAAATGACCTCCATCATCTCTTTTGATTGATTTTAGTTTAAAGTCTAATTTGTTATATATTGGAATTGCTACTACCATTTGTTTCTTGGGTCCATTTTATTGGAAAATCTTTAATCAACCCTTAACTCTGAGGTACCATCTGTCTTTGAAGTTGAGGTGTGTTTCTTGTATGTATCAGAAGGATGGGTTCTGTCTTCCTATCCATTATTTTAGCCTGTGTTTTTTTATAGATAAGTTAAGATCACTGATATTGAGGGCTATTAATGACCATTGATTGTTTATTCTAGTGTGTTTTGGATTTGTTTTTGGTGGTGGTGAACTTCTGTGTGGGTTTCCACCCCTCTTTTCTTTTGGCTTTTTGTAAAGTGGGGTTTTCTATTGCCTATGTTTTTCTAGGTGTAGTTAAATTCCTTGGGTTGGAGTTTTCCTTCCAGAACTTTCTGTAGGACTGGATTAGTGGATATGTATTGCTTAGATCTGGTTTTGTCATGGAATATC